TAGATGGACTTGTTTTAAAGAAATGGTTTCACTATCGAGACTTCAAGATTTAAGTATACAGCTGTGAGCAGCAAGGATTACTGGATTAGAACAATAAGGATGTGGTAGCTCCTGCTGAACCCATGTGGCAGAACGGTGAACCATACTATACGAAATGTCAGAATTCTCAAATACGATTTTCAAGGAGCGTTTTCATTAAAAAAATACGAGCATGTTTTCAGTATGTTAATGCATGCGTGACAAACAGTTAAGGAGAAACTAGTTTTTGACATACGCTTGTATGTCGCATGAAACTATGAACCAATTAAGTAACTAGTCACGTACATCTCAGTAGCAGACAAAGGCAAGAGACATGTCTATGCCAACTAGACTATATTTAATTCATGTAATTAACGCACGTGGTATTGTTTTCATGTAATATTTTAGTTTGATATGAAACTTAGGGGTCGTTTACCAAACATTTACACGGTTAAGCACTTACTATAAGTCATACTACTTTAACGGAAGAATATGACAAGAACTAAGAATCTCACCCGGTAAGAGCGAGACAAGGACTGGGATTCTTACTCAGTAAGTGAGAACGATGACTTTTACCATGGTGAGTGCTTACTGGGCAAATTGTTGCATACAATGTTGTTTTTGTTGACTAAAATCTTACCATGTAAGTAAGTAATAATGTTAAATTTTACAAATAAGCTCTTACTGGGTAAGTGTTTGGTTTTTTTTAAATTTTTAATTAATAGATAATAATAAATAAATTGATTAACCTGGATATCCAACCCGCTATGCGAGCCGATTAATCACAGGACGGCCACCCACCTTGCAGGTAGCCCGGAGTCATCGCATTTGAACCTCCGTGGTCACAAAAATGATTTTTTTGTTCCTCCTTGGATTCGAACATGAGACCTCTAAACACTTTTTACCTTTGTCCTTTTGAGTCCAAGTTTAAACTAACCGAGCACCACCCTTGTTGTTGATAATAATAAAAATTAGTGCATATAGTAATTATTATTTTATTTATATTGTATATAAAACAAATTTTAAATAAATAAACTAAAAAAACAATATGTCTTGTTATTTATAAAAATAATATATCAGTTATTTTTCAACTTTATAAAGGTCAACCATGTGTATGTAGTTGTATGGTTTGCTCATAAATGAATCGAATAAAAAGCTTTAAAAATTTTGAACAGTAACCAATGATTTTTCATTTTATCTGTATTCTCATAGAATACATCATCGATTCTTCTACAACTTTAGAAACTCATAAAATAACCATCATCTTTTCTGATTTTAAAACTTCAAGAATAATCAATCAGTTCTTATTTAAGTTTTTGAATATTCAAAAATAATTCATCAGTTTTTCAGCAACCTTTAAAAAATCAGATAATAACTCATCATTTTTTATCAAATTTTCAAATATAAACAGTATTAATAATTCTTGTAATAATAAACTATAGAAAATGTATTGTTGTATAATAATAACATAAAATATAAATGATGTTTAATGTTGAAAAAGTTGTATATTAATAGAAGAGTGAATTTGTTGTTTGTTTATCTTTTAATAGTTCTATTAAGAGACAACCTCTGAAATAAGAGGTGAATCTTATTTGGCCAAAAAAAAGTCTGTCTCTTAATGGTTCTAAAACCCTCTGAATGATTTTGTATATTGGGTCTCCCTTAACCATTAAGCATCCTAATTTCATTGTAAACAATTACCAAACAATTATATTTCAGTTTGCACTATATCATGAGAGTCTTTTAATCATTCTGATCATTTAATCATTCTGCATCAAACCATTCAGCAACTGTCAAACAGTCTTTTACAGTGGTTGTGACTGTGGTTTGCTTAAATTTTGGATTTACTCCCTAAAACAAACTATCTACATTGATGGTCTCTCACTTTTCATTTTTATAACACTCGTGGTCTCTGCATTTAACAAGTTAGTTAGCACCGTTGTCAAAGACTAACTGGTCTTTGAACAAACTATAGGGACTAAAAGTGTAATCTGCTCTAAAACTTAATGCGATTCATGTATTTTTTAAAATTTTTTTATTAAAAATATAATTTATATATCTAATTACAAATCAATTTTTTTAAATAAAATACATATTAAATAAAAATCTTTATATTAAAAACTCTTAAATTCATTAAAAAAAAATTAGCGTCAAAAACTGTCAAGTTAAGAAAACAAAGGAAACCTAGATAAATTCTCATTTCTTTTGGGTTGAGAATTGAAATATGCGAGCAAAATATTGAAAATTAAGTTCGATTACCGTGAAATTATTAATATACAATCAAATTATTAATAATCTCACGTTAACGAAACTTAATTTTCAATATTTTGCTAGCATATTTCAATTTCCAACTCAAAATATATGTGAATTTATCTTGATTTCCTTTATTTTTTTAAACTTGAGATTTTTTAACGTTAATTTTTTTTTTTTTGTGAATTTAATAGTTTTTAAATAAATATAAATATTTTTATTTAATGTACTTTATTTTAAGGTATATGATTTGTGATTGAATACATAAAATATTTTTAATAAAAAAGTAAAAAGAAAACTGTAAATCACATTAAATTTTAGAGCAGATTACATTTTTTGTTCCTATAGTTTTTTCAAAGACCGATTAGTCTTTCATAATAGTTGCTAACTAAAGTTTTTAAGTGGAGGGACCATGAGTGTTATGAAAATGAAAAGTTAAGGACCATTAATATAGATAAATTTATTTTAGGGATCAGATCCAAATTTTAAGCAAACCACAAATATTACTAGTATAATAAATAATTTACTCTTAATAGAAGTATTTAAGTTTAAAATGAAACAATTTATATTTTAATATTCTTTATATTTACATTCTTTTTTGAAAACATATTATTTTATCAAAAATATTATATATTAATATAGAGAAAAAAATAATAATAACAAAATTAGTTATAAATAAAAAGGTATTTGATTTCACAATAATAATAATAATAATTAAATAAAATAAAAACAATAATTATAAAAAATAATCAAAATACAAATAAATGTGGCTGATTACGTAATTATTTAGTTATGATAAATAATAACAAAGGAGGGGTGTTGTTAATATATAAGTAGGGGTGCAAATATCCTTATACAAAATTGTGTAGTTGGTTGGCGTTTGTTTTTTAAGAGGTACTGAAGTCTAATTTCATTTATGATTGGTAAGAGGTTGTGTTGAAATCTGAATCAATAAGACTTTTTATTTTTATATACTGATAAATGTCTGAATTTGTTTAAATTGTTTATTTACTCATGAATATTTTAGTGTTGAATTTATATATAAATTTATACAATTTCATATATTTATTTATTATCTTTACGAAATTTACGTCAAAATTGTAAAAATTAACATGCATTTTAATGAATAAGATTAATTGATAATAAGATATTTAAATCATATAAATTTAAATTAGAAAGTCATATAATTATAGTAAATTGAGTTTTATTATAATTCAAGTGGATCGAGATAAAAGATCTATTATAGTTAACCCGTTGAGAACAATAAGGAGCAAATAAATGGTTTGTTTGTTTTTTACCAAACAAGAGGACGATAAAATATAAATGACTGAAAATTTAGAAAAAATAAATAGTCTGAATGAACGTATTACTTATTAATTCAGATATCTGAAAATTTAGAAAAGAAAAAAAAAATAGTCTGAATGAACCCTACTTCTTATCGAATCAGACATAAGAGATTTGATAAATAAATAAAAAATTAACAAACACTAAGGCTTTGTTTGTTTTTTGAAAAAAAAACTTTTAAAGTGTTGTTTGATAGTTGCTGAATGGTTTGGTGCACAATGATTAAGTGATCAGAATCATTAAGAGACTTTCATGATATAGTGCAAAATGAAATATAATTGTTTGGTAATTGTTTACAATGAAATTAGGGCGTTTAATGGTTAAGGGAGATCATAAATACAAAATCATTCGGAGAGTTTTAGAACTATTAAGAGACAATTTTTTTTGCCAAACAAGACTCAACTCTTAATGATTCAGAAGTTGTCTCTTAATGGAACTACTAAGAGGTAAACAAACAACCCCTTTATGTCTGAGCCGTTAAGAGGTAAAGTCATTCACACTGTTTGTTTTGTCTATTTTTTGGAGACACTTATATCTTATTTTTCTCTTATTTGGTAAGAGGTAAACCAACATCTTGTTTACCTCTTATTATTCTCGAAACATTTAGCAACAACGTTTCTCAATTGATTAACCTTAATCAATCATCTCTCTCAATTGATCATTACCAAATCGATCCTCACATCTCTCAGTTGTTGTATTTTAATAGGATTTAAATGTGTTAAATATCGTTGATGACATATTTTTATTTTAATGAATGCTAATTATATAATTTAAATATATTTCTTGACGATGATGAATAAATATGTGAAATTACATAAATTTATCTATAAATTCAACATTATAATTTTTTTAGTTGGTAAAATAGACAATTTAAACAAATTCAGATAGTAATCAGTTTACAAATACAAACAATTTTGTTCATTCAGATTTTAAACTTCTACTTTGGTTGTTTATTTACCTCTTAATAGTTCAATTAAGAGGCAACATCTGAATCGTTAAGAGGTGAATCTTGTTTGACAAAAAAAAGTCAGCCTCTTAATGGTTCTAAAACCCACCGAATAATTTTATATCATGAATCTTCCTTAATCATTAAGAGCCCTAATTTTATTATATACAATTACCAAATAATTATATTTTATTTTACATTATATCATGAGATTCTCTTAATCATTCTAACTACTTAATTATTCTATATCAAACCATTTAACAATTGTCAAAAGTGACGGGACATTATCTCGGTGTTAATGAGAAGTGAATAAAAACAAACGCGTCCTACACCGCCCCCTAACGAAATTGGAAACGGTTGATATAATAAAACGCTAACTTTACATAACACTAGAATTTGTTGATTTCAATATCTCGGATCACGGGCTTTGTCCCGCCATCTTCTCTCCCATTTTCGTTAAATTTCCAAAAGAGGAACTACGAGCTCCAATGGCGATGCCGTGTCTAACTACCGGTAGTTCTATGCTAAATTGCACCACAACCATGGCGTTGCCCTCTGCAACCGTATTGCCTTTAAGGCAGCCATTTTTGGTTCCTTCCGTAGTTAAATTTTCTTCTCGTTATCATAGTCTGAAGCTCAATTTCGTCGATTTTAGCTCTCGCACTCGAGTTTCTGCTGCAGCGGGTGAATTTGCAGACTCCTCGAATTGCAATGATTCAGTTCACACCTCTGATAATCATCAGGTAACGATGTGATGTTCAATTTTAGTAGTTTGTTTATCAGTTGTGTCGCCGTGTCGGTGTATTTTTGTTAGTTAGTGCTTCCTTACTCCGTTCGGTGAAGAATTTGTGTTTTGAACCAGATTGCAGAATTGTGGTTACGTATTCAAATTTGGAAGTTGAATTGTTAATTTTTGAGGTTTAAAGTGTGTTGAATTAACTAACTATTGAAAACGATGAACATGTTAACTTAGAAGCTTAATGTATGCTTGTATAAGTGTCAAATGAAGTCATATCAATTTGAATTTTATAATTTTGGTAAATGACCTAAAACATCAAAATGCTTTTGCAATCATGGAATGGAGTTGGTAGCATTCAGTGTTAGCGTTAATTTCATCAATTTTAGCTTGACTTAACGCCGCATTAAGTAATTTTGAGGACTCTATGAATGCAACTGGTAATTTTGAGGACTTACGAAGTCAATTGATTCGGTTCATACCTTCGATAGTGATCAGGTAAAAATGTTACCTCAAATATAGTATGATATCTATGGGTTTGTAGATTTTTTTCTTTGCTAAATATAATTACTGCTTCTCTTACTTCATTGTGTGTTCTACTCAACGAATTCGAGGATTATGGTTATATTTTAAGATTTTGAGTCACATCTCGAATTTGATATGTTTCAAATAGGCATGAAATAACTCAGTTTTTGAAAACAGTGAACAGGTTAATTTCTTGTGCTTGTTAAGTCGCTTAAGATACTTGTAGTAGTAAAAATATCAGATAGATTCATATCAATTTGAATCTGAGGATTTGGTAAATTGACTCAGTAGACATGTTTTTTGTAATTTTGGGATGTGATAAGTAGCATCGCATGTCAGGGTCATTTCGTCAATTTTATCTTGAATTTCAGAGGACTCTATAAATTTGAGAGATTCAATTCATGCCACGGATGATGACAGGGAAAAAAATGTGATTCCTATTTTAGTATTTTGTTATATTAGTGTATTTATGATTGTTATTTACTTTTGTGTATGAAAGTTTCTGTTAATCTTATTCAGTGCTAGATAGGTATTGCTTCTGTAACTCAATCGGGTGAGGCATTTGCGTTCTACTCCCAGAACCGCAGAACTATGATTACATTCAAATTTTAGAAATCAAGTTTCAATACTTTAGGTAGAGAATAAAAAATGTAGTAAAACGATATAGACAAATGAAACCTGAAGGTTGTAAGTTGATTTTGAAACTAACTCACTTCTAAAATAATGAATATGTTAATACTTGTACTCTTTTTTTTTTATTAACCTGGATATCCAACCCGCTATGCGAGCTGACTAATCCCAGGGCGACCACCTGCTTTGCAGATAGTCCGGAGTCACCGCATTTGAACCTTCGTGGCCACAAGGGGATTTTTATTTCTTCTTGGATTTGAACCTAGGACCTCCTGGTACTTTTGACATTTGGAGTCAAGCTTAAACCAATCAGGCACCACCCTTGTGGTTAATACTTGTACTCTTTACGTAGCTAGTTGTACAAGCATCAATAACAATTTGAACTTCAGGATTAACAAACTGACTTCAGAATTCATAATGTTGTTGCAATTTTGGAATGAAGTAATATTCAAATTTAGGCTTTTGCTTCATTATGTTCCTATCGGAATGTACTTGTATGGAAACCGCTGCTTCTAAGGCAATGCAACCAAAAAGGACTTTGGCCTAGCGGTGTCTGGGTTAGCGACAGAGCTCCACCATCCCAAGAGGTCAAGGGTTCAAACCTCACCAAAAGCGAGGAGGGTGTGTGTGTTCATTTGCCATATATAAATATTATATAATTCAAAAAAGACAAAAAAAGGCAATGCATTCATCTTTTTGTGATTGTATTTGGGATAAATTAAACAGCTAGTGTTGCACAACTTGAAATTCTTCAGCCAAAAGCATGATAACAATAACAATTGGTGACACAAAACATCTCATTGCATGTCTTGTGATGGTAAAATTGTTTCGTGAAGTAATGGAAAATGGTAAGAGTTCATTGTTGAAACTTGGTAGTCAAATGGACTACTTTCATAACCAAAACTAATCGTAAGTTATTTATTTTTCGAGAAAAAGTTGATAGCTACTATTACACAGGACAATATATAGCAACTTTCATTTGCTATTAAAGTAAGAACTTCAATCATGGTTTGAAGTTTGGCAAGAACTAGGTTTTTATTGTCAAAAATCAAACTGCAACTCTAATTTGGAATGGAGCGAGTGCTTTATTAGAGGGGTCAAGCATTACCAGCTGTTAGAAAAGTATGCAGTAGAATGCATTAATACATATATCGAGGAGACAAAATAACAGCTGTTAGAAAAGTATTATATGAACCAGTGGCTTTGGGATTAACTGGTACCAGATGAGTCTCAAACCAGTGGTTGTAGATTCAATATCCTTTGCTAATAGGGTGTGTGTATTTCAACCGTTTGGGAAAAGAGAAGTAAATCTATATGTGATTATTATATTCTCATAATTTGTACTTCTAGATTTATGCTGTGTTCGTACAATCTTGTGTTTATGTGTGTTTTCTTGTGTTCTTGAACTTGTTGCTTCAATGTAAGGATTTTCTTTCCATTTTGGCATCTGTCTTTAGCATGATCTGAATCCATATCTCTTATTTGATCTTCTTGGAGTTACTAAAATAATTTCACTTTGACCTGCTCCAAACCCTTTCCTGTAGGTTGTGGACATTTCCCCAGAGGAGCGAGATTTTTCTGGCACACCACATGTTCCTGTATATGTTATGCTACCAGTGAGTTTGTCGATGTTTTCTTTTTGTTGTCTCCTCTGAAAACACTTGTCATCTCAATAGTAGCATCTTGCTTTTGTGTATGACATTCTTTTCTGTGAGTGAGTTGTTGAATGTAGAGCCTAATTTAGACTATAAACTGGACTCCCATAAATTTGAAAGAGACACTTATAACAGTTAGGATGATATTTTGCTATCTGATCCAGTTTTTGTCTAGTTTTTTCAGAAAAATTGGATCCATTCTTTCTTTCTTGTAGGTTTACCACTCACAATTCATGAGATATAATAAGAAATCTAGCAATATGTAGAGGAATTGGTGAACCACATAAATATTGTGCGTTCTTTTTTTCATTCCTTGCAACTAGTATTGTGTGTGAGTAAAGATCCTTACAGGGATGTAGATTGTTAGTAGAAATTTGTTTGAGATAACCTGAACTCACGCTCTAGGTCATTTGCAGCTGGGGACAATCAATATGGAATGCAAGCTTGTTGATTCTGATGATCTGTCGAATCAGCTAAAAATCTTGAAGTCGGTCGGTGTTGATGGTGTCATGGTTGATACCTGGTGGGGAATTGTGGAGGCCAACAGTCCGCAACAATACAATTGGAAAGGTTACAAGAAACTCTTCAAGATAGTTCGTGGCTTGGACCTTAAGCTACAGGTTTGTTTTAGACAGTGCCATATTTTTTCTTCTGATTATTGTAGAAAACCCGGGAAACTACACCCAAGGGATGAAATTTTTGTTGCATATCAATTGATGCACCCCTCGTAATTCACAGGGCAATACAAGTGTAGGATTTGAACTTAAATTCATACGCGCCCCTGGTTCTCCAAGTTCTATTGGAAGCGTGTAAATTCATACAGGGTTTAGTTAGGAGAATAGCCTTGTAGATTATGAGGCATTCTTCTTGTGCTAGAAGCACACATACATACATCGGGAGAAATGCAAATAGAGAATAAGACTAAAAATGTGATGACCTATTGAGACCTTAGATCACTAGCAGGTCTACTGACTTCCTAATAGACCTTTAGCCACCTTTTTAATCGCCAGAGCCATGATCTATTTTTATGAGATCAAGCAAACACGGTATTACTAGCATTAATCTTCCATTTCACATCAATTCCCTTTTCTTTTTTAACACTGTGGTATTTGGTTCTTTTGGTTCAAATAATCCATTTGATCCATGCAAAACATCCTTTGCAAATGATCAGGCATAGTTTAGGCCTTCTGCGCTGGTGTGGCCCCGAAAGGAATTGATAAACTAGGACTAGAACTTGGGACCTGCATCAATTTCTTTTCGGTAGATGAATTTTTATTCCTTTCTTGTCCATACTATGGCCATGTTTAGCAACCATAAGCTAGCTTAGGGTCTGTTTGTTAGCAGTTTAATGGGACTTGCAGCTTATTTGGTCAGCTATACAATACTTTTTGGTAGTGGCTTAATGATATAGAAAGTGGCTTATTCAGTAAGCTTTTAGGGGAAACTTTATGTAGAAAGCCAAGTTTTTTCCAAACTTGTCTTTCCCAATTAAAAAACATGCTCCTTCCATCTATGTAAAACACTCCCAAACAAAAACCTTTCTAATTGATATAGACTGATTAATCCACACATATGGCTTTCTCCATACAAGACTTAATGAGAAACCAACCAAACAGCCCCTTATCTTTTATTTGAAAAAGTCTCGTTTGGTTAGCCATAAACTAGAATTTTGAAAAGCTACTTCATATTACCCTTATATTTTTCCAATTCACTTTTCAACATGCCCTTTTAGGTCATTTACGCATTTTACGTTTTCATCTAGCTTATCAGCTAGTTTTTACCAAACATGAGTAGTTTATCGACTAGCTTTTTGGCTAACAACAAGCTTATGAGCCAACATCTAGCTTATCAGCTAGTTCCGCCGAAAGATATCCTAAGATCTTTCTTGTGCTTTTGGTGGAATAATCGATATGATTTGCTATCAGGTTGTAATGTCATTTCATGAATGTGGAGGGAATGTTGGTGATGATGTTCACATTCCATTGCCTAAATGGGTAAGAGAAATTGGTCAAGGAAACCCCGACATCTATTTCACAGACCGAGATGGAAGACGCAACCCAGAAAGCCTTACTTGGGGAATTGACAAGGAACGCGTTTTGAAAGGCCGCACTGCTATTGAGGTATCAGATTTTGCTACTGACAGATGATGTATGTGTACAATTTCTGATGTGAGGTTTAAAAAAGCAAACACCAAAAAGTGAAGCTGGTTAATAAGATTATGCCTTGTACTATGTTGATGAAGGTTGTTTTGTGCATAATTTTACAATATTTTTTCTTGATACATCATTGCAGGTCTATTTTGAGTATATGAGGAGCTTTCGTGTTGAATTTGATGAGTTCTTCGAGGATGGGAGCATTACTGAGATTGAAATCGGGTTAGGTGCTTGTGGAGAATTGCGTTACCCGTCTTATCCTGCAAAACATGGTTGGGAATATCCCGGTATTGGTGAATTCCAGGTACTTTTTTTTTAGAAAAACTGACTTATCTGTTCGAGTTCCATATCGGGCTAGACACAGACCATTAAACCTCTATATACGTAGGAAACTCCTCTCTCTCTCTCTCTCTATAAGCGCTTTTTGGAGAGAGATTTAAAGGGATTCCACATATCATGTTGGTATCAGAGCCCGGGTATAAAGGATTTTCCACAACTAGTAGATGAACTATACGCCAGCTTCCAATGTAATTCAAGACACAATCAGTAGACTTTACATTAGTAGAAGGGAATCCAGAAGTCTTGCTTCGACCATTATAATCTTCCTTATAATTTTGTATCCAAAAAGTTCCAATCTTTTACAAAGTTCCTGGACAGGGACGTTCCAATGTTTTTGGAGGCCCTGTTACATATGTATGACTATAGATTGAGAGTAATAAATATAAATATTTATATCATATATTATATTAAAAGTCTTACAAACTAAAATAACAAAATGTTTTTAAATAACAAAGTAACATATGAATTCATTTAAATAGAATTATTCTTCTAACATTCTTCGAAAGTTGGACTATGAATCGTCAAATAGACTAAAAGAGTAAAAGCCTAAAATATTACGATTGGGCTAAAGGTTAAACATATATAATTAAATAAAAGCTTAAACATGTATAATTGGGCCCAAAATTTTTGGGGGACCTGTTCTATATATCATGCTTGATTGAACACCCTCCGGCACAGCCCAGTCCCCGTATTCCGTTCTGCTATGGAAAATTCAGGTGAGTTGTATCAGTTGAGCAAAATTAGAGCACTACCTAGGGACTCGCACACTCTTTCACCTCCGTTCTTGGGGGCAACCTCTAGCCTCAGTTTGAGGGGCGTGTTGGAGTCCCCATCAGTTAGCCATGGACCATCTAAACTTGTATATATTTGTATATATGTAGGAACCTCCCCTCTCTCTATAAGGGCTCTTTTAGAGAAAGATTCAAAGGGTATTCACATACTCTAAGGGGGCGTTTGGTTTGATGGAATTGGAAAGGATTTGGAATCTTCTGTTTGTAGGATTTAGAATAGAACTGAATTTATTTTCTACAAATAATTAAACTATCTTTTCGTTAATTGATTATTATAAAATAAATGTTTTTAACATACGAATTCCAAATCCAAACGGCACCTGACATTATCATTGCTAGGTAGGCTGATATGACATGATTATGAACTATGATCATAAAAGGAGCTCGTAGCCAATTGCTTGTTCTTTTTACTAACAAAAATATTTTACCTTGCAGTGCTATGATAAGTACCTAACAAAGAGTCTCCAGAAAGCGGCAGAAATAAGGGGACACTCATTTTGGGGTAGAGCTCCTGATCATGCAGGTTCTTATAATTCCCAGCCTCAGGATACCAAGTTTTTTTGTGATGGAGGTGATTACGATGGCGCCTATGGCAGATTTTTCCTTAATTGGTACTCCCAGAGTCTCATCGATCATGGCGACAGGGTACTAGCCTTGGCCAATTTGGCCTTCGAAGGTACTCCCATATCTGTAAAGGTGAGTCAATTTGGCAAGACTGTCTTCAATGATGATCAAATTATAATGAATGGGTTCTTTTCACAAGTCGAGGTTCTCATAGAAATAACCACCCTACACTCTGGGGTAGAGGTCGGGTCTGAATACATCTTACCGTCTTCAAACGCCACCATCAAATTGTAATGAACCAGTTCTTTTCACAAGTCAGGGGTCTCATGGAAACAACCGCTCTACACTTTGGGATAGAGCCATAGAGGGCAAGTTTGCATACATCCCTCCTCAGACCTCACCATCAATTGTAATGAAGCGGTTCTCTTCACAAGTTGAGGGTCTTTAGGAAACAACCCCTCAACTCTTTGGGGTAAAGGCCAGGTCTTAGAGCCCACCTCTAGATCGGAAGATGTGCATACATCTTACCCTCCCCTGATAACACCTTTGGGCATGGTTCTAAATAACTCGTCATGGCGGGTTATGGCGTCAAGGTTTGGGTTTGCCGCAATGTTAGCCCATATGGCTCCACTCTAAAGCTTGACTTGCATTGTAACGCGTTGTGGCACGTTACGACGTGTTATTTTGTAAGGTGTGGGGTTATTTTTAATATATAACTTGAGGGATAAATGATAATTATGTACGACACTTGAGACAAATAAACATAAAAAAGGAACTCAAAAACTAAAACCTTAAATAGGTAAATACTTACTCCCACTCCTATACATGAAGAGTCAAAGACGAATTCTTAGGAAATTGAAGGAAGTAGTGAGTAGAGATCCAAGAGATTTAATCTTGATTTTGCACTCTTGATATCATTTTCTGTCAATGGTTCTTGTTTCTTTTTTTAGTTTTATTATTTTATATGAATTTAATTTGTTCTACAATATTATTCGAAACACTAACACACACAAGTGTGGGGCTGTGTATATGTATCCTGCCTTAGGGCAGGCCTTGAAAAATGTCGTGTCCTCGCTGTAACTTGTAAGGCTTTGACCTTGCTGCCACGCCAAACCTCACGTCATTTAGAACCTTCCCTCCGGGTGGGATTTGTTGGATTCGTATGGTTTGGTTTATTCATCCACTCAAAGAATTTTCTTGGATATTGTTATCAGCTATCAGGTATTCATTGGTGGTACAAAACTGCCAGCCATGCTGCTGAACTCACTGCTGGGTTTTACAATCGGACCAACCGTGACGGCTATGCCCCAATTGCTTCGATGTTAAAGAAGCACGGCACAGCTTTAAACTTCACATGTGTTGAGTTGCGTACTTTGGACCAACAAGAGGGCTTTCCGGAGGCAATGGCAGACCCTGAGGGGTTAGTTTGGCAGGTAACTCAATAGACCTTACACTAGTAAAGTAAAATTATTCCATTTTGTCTTCCTCTGTGAGTATGTGGAACCCCATAAGATTACTGTCCAAAAGAGTCCTTGAGGAGAGGAGAGGTTCTGGTATATATTCAAGTCTAGCTGATGATAGCAGAACTTGTAACACCCCCTTCCCGCGTGACCAAGGACAGGAGACACCACAATTTTTTTTGAAGTATATAGTATTTATATACGGCAAATAGAACAAATAAACTCACACACCCTTCTCACCTTTAGTGAGGTTTGAACCCCAAAAGCTCACATACCGCTAGGCCAAAGGCCCTTTGGTAGGAGACACCACAATTAGGTTCAAAACAATACCAAGTCAACTAATTGGTTAAAGCAGAGCAGTTAATATAATTTACTGAAACATAAGTACAAAACCAAAAACGGAGATAACAGTTTGTACCAAAATATAGTCCCAAAATGCACACATATACCATCTATGGGACTTCAAGACACCCTCTCCAACGGAGGCTAGAGGGTTATATATTTGTCCCATAGTGTCGAGGCCTTAGAGTGGTAGACCTTGGCTTTGATACTACTTGAGAATATGTGGAACCCCGTCATATTACTCTCCAAAAGAGCCGATGAGGATAGAAGGGAGGTTCTAATGTATATTGGGAAGAAAAGGTCTAAATCTAGCCGACATAGGACTCCGACATCAACATCGGTGCAAACTTATTGATGAAAATGATTAGGGCATGAATTGTGTAATAAATCTCATGTCCCAAAATCCTATGCCCCTCCTTGTTCCACCAATCATGTGAAGACAAATAATTATTTCATTTAGTATAAGGGGTTATTTACCCAAAGCTTACCCGGTAAACACTCATCTCTAAAAGTCAACACTTTCATTTAACTTACCAAGTAAAATTTTAATCCATTAAAACGGCATCGTATGCAACATTTTTGTCCAATAAGCGCCTACCAGGTAAGAGTCATCACTCTCACTTATCGAGTAAGACTCTCGGTCCTTGTCATTGCTCTTACCGGGTAAGATTCTCAATCCTTGTCATGTTCATCTGATAAGGAAAGATGACCCGGTAAGCACTTACCGCGTAACCGTTTGTAAATGGCCCCTAAGTTTATCTAGTTTTTGTTTTCCTCATCTCCCGGTGATGTGCTTTTACGTGATTGATGGGGACATGGGATTTAGAGATTTTTTTTCATGAATCAAATGGAATATAATGAACTAGTATGGTTTGTTTTGGTTAGGGGCATTATGAAAATATTGGTTTGATTTGAAAATATCATCAACCTGTTGACCAACTACTCTTTCTTGGTCTAATTCACATATGAATTATTGCATAAAAAGTGTGCCCATCAACCCATACCCATTAAATTGCAATAGTTTCATTTTTGCCAATTTTTAAATATCAACCATATGTCAATTATTTATTACAAAAAACTATGATATTGATTTAACTCTACAAGATCCGGCATTGTTTTTTTATTAATCTGGATATCCAATCCGCTATGCGAACCGACTATGCAGATAGCACGGAGTCACTGCATTTGAAACTCCGTGGCCATAAGGGGATTTTTATTCCTCTAACTTGAGACCTCCTGGTACTTTTGACATTTGGAGCCAAGTTCAAACCAATCAGGCACCACGCCACCACCCTTGTGGTTTCCGACATTTTATTATATTAACAACAGTTAGGATATTTGACCTGTTGGTGTTTGAGTCCCTAATCAGCTAGATACAAACCTATTATAGGCTCGATATTGTTAAGGCTGCATATTAATTATGCACTCTCTTTGACAATGAAAAATTGCCAACAATTTTCACGTCAGATATCTCATGAAAGCTATGGCTTTTTCTTTTCTAGCAAAGTACTAAAATTACTCCTTAAATTCCAAAATAAGTGTTCACTTTCATAAATAGATAGTTGTAATTGATTAAATTTCCAATTTTACCCTTAGTTATGATACACGATTATTTAACCACCCTTCACAAGGGTGGTGCCTGATTGGTTTGAGCTTGGCTCTAAAGGTCAAAAGTACCAGGAGGTCTCAGGTTCAATCCAGGAGGAATAAAAATCCCCTTGTGGCCACGGAGGTTCAAATGCGGTGATTCCGGACTATCTGCAAAGCAGGTGGTCGGCCTGGAATTAGTCGACTCGCATAGCGGGTTGGATATCCAGGTTAATAAAAAAAAACCATTAATGGAATAACCATACATTTCTAAAACTGTGAGCTTCTTTATTAAAGGTAAAATTGTCATTAACCGTGTGTTTTTTTATGGATATTTATTTTGAGACGGAGGTACTTATTTGTTCATTATCGTGGTTACAAAGAATTGGTGGTATTTTCTCTAGATTGATACGATTTTCCTAGTTGACCAATAGTCACACACTTCATTAAACCATATGTTAAGTTAAACATACAATTGATCAAAATGTTGATGTTGTTGATGGTCTTATACGTGTTATTTGTACTTGTTTTACATTTTTAGACATCTCATGAAAACTATGACGTGGTCTTTTTAGAAAACTATTGAAATTACTTATTTACCCTCATCATAGTTGCAAAGAATTGGTAGTATTTCTCGGGATCGGCACGATATTCCGAGTTGACCAATAGTCGAAAACTTCATTAAACCGTATGTTAAGTCCAAACGTAGAACTCATCAAAATGTTAGATGTTCTTATACGTGTCACTTGTATTTGTTTTACATTTTCATATATCTGATAAAAATTATGACGTGGTCTTTATAGCAAACTAGTTAAATTATTTATTTACCCATCATCGTAGTCACAAAGAATTGGTGGTATTTCTCTAGATCAACACAATTTTCTTAGTTGACCATTAGTTGAGGATCTCAACAGATTCTCCAAAGAGGGGAATCAAAATTTAAATCTCCAAAAGAAAATTTATATTCATCTCCAACAGCTTCTCCATTTTGAAGATTACAATATTAATTATATTGTTAAAATATTTAATGCCTTTCATAAAATATTATTTCTCTTCTATAAATTTAATTTCAAAGATTCTCATTAATAGGAAGAATAAAAAATATTTCTCTTTCATATGTAAATTTTTTGGAAAATTCTCTAAATTTGGAGAATTTTCACCCTCTCTCTCCTACTTTGTCTATTTTGGAGAAGGTTTCAGGGAATTTGTTGGAGTAAAAATCCTTAAATTCTTCAATTCTAAGTCAAATGTAGAACTGATTAAGATTTTGGGGTTATTTCTTTGTCTCAGTTGTATTTATTTTACAATTTATTTAGGTACTAAATGCTGCATGGGATGCTGATATACCAGTTGCAAGTGAAAATGCTCTGCCTTGCTATGATAGACAAGGGTATAACAAGATATTGGAACATGCCAAACCAAGGGATGATCCTGATGGTAGGCATTTATCTGCTTTTACCTACCTCAGGCTTAATCAAGCTCTCCTTCATGAACACAACTTAAGGGAATTCCAACTATTTGTCAAGAGAATGCATGGTACATCTCTTTCCCTCCCTTGATTTGATCAACAACTTCCATTTGGAACTTGTTACTTTGTGGATTTTGCATATTTAAATGAGCAAAATGTATTAAAATATAATCTTAGGGGTCGTTTATCAACATAAATTGGGTAAGTACTAATCAAGTAGGGGCTGTTTAGTTGGTTTATCAACATAAATTGGGTGAGCATGACAAGGACCGAGAAATTTACCCGGTAAGAGGCATAGCAAGAACCAAGAATCTTATCCTGTAAGTTAGGGAGAAGACTCTTATGTGGTTAGAGCTTACCGGGTAAAAGATGCTACAATCCATTTTGATGGCCAAAAATGTTACCCGATAAGGTAAGAGAAGGTTGTGACTCTTGCCGTAAGCGTTTGGTAAACAACCCCTAAAAGTCTCCATTAGCTTACCAGGTCAGTATCTTGGTCAACACCATGGACCTATAAGAGAGGCTTGGTAAACAACATTTGTGACCGCGTACGTTTCTCTTACCCGGTAAGAGGCGGTAAATAGACCAAAGGGCCTTTGGCCTAGCGGTATCGTAGCCCTTGGCCTTCTAGGAGGTCAGGGGTTCAAACCTCACCATAGGTGAGGAGGGTGTGTGAGTTTATTTGTTGCATTTGCCGTATATAAATATTATATACTAAAAAAAAAGAGGCGGTAAATAGGTAGTAAAGTATCCCTTAGGCTCTACTTAGTGTTATGATGAATTTCGTTTTCTTAAGTGATGTAACAAGCGTTGAATTCTTTCTATTTCATACCCATTTTACTAAATAGAAGAGTTATTGGCCTGCGTGGCATTGTTTGATTTTGATGTCGGATTTTTCACGTAATAAAAAAACTACAATGCCACTTGACAACTTGGCATCAATAAATAGTTACAAGATTTATGGCTTAGCAGTCAAAATAGGTACAGATGGTTAGTAATTACACTAAATGAAAAAATAATTATTACACTAAATACGAATTAAGACAAATTTCATGAAATTTTCATGCATCTTGGTTTCTAGACTTCGAATTTGATAGAAGTTTTTGAGTATCTAATCCCAACGCTTCTTGTATTATAAAGTAAATTACAATTTCCGTCCATGGGCTTATTAAAAATTGCGATTTTCGCTCATGTAGTTATAAATTGCGGTTTTCATCCATATTATTTGTAATGCATTGTTATTTTCATCTTTGTGATTAATAATTTATTGTTGTTTTAGTCTTTGTGGTATACAATTCTTTACTGTTTTGGTCCCTTATACTTAAAAGATAGGAATTAGTCCAGGAACAAAAATAGCAATAAATTACAAACCATAGGGATAAAAACGTAATTTATTCAATATTATATTTCCTCCTCTCCATGAAAATTGCTATGAAAATTATAACATTGTATTTTTTTTTTTTAAATCAAGCTACATTGATACAAGTTACTCTCTCTTGATTTCGGTTCATCGCATTTCTAGTTGTCCTGGCTTTGGGTGCGATATATTGGGTTCGTTTTGTTTAGGTAATTGACGCCTAGTTTTGTAATCAACTTACTGAAACAGGCGAAGCTGTGGAGGGCCTTTAGCACCGAATCTGAATCAACTACTAATCCGTTTTTCTCGGTCTTGTATCATAAGTCGACAAAAATTCAAGGTAAAATACTTTTACGATATTAGATATAAGTTATTGTTGCATTATTCCTTTTGCTCAATTACTTTGGAAAATTATCTGTTAAATAGTTTTCATTTGGAAAAATACAAAGAAAATCAATTGGACAAAACAGGATATGATAGGACAATATAAAAACTTGTCCCATTTTGGACAGGATGAGAGTAGCACAAAAATACGTTTTCTGTCCTATCAAAATAGGTGGAACAAAAATTATGAAAATGTGACAAGATTGATAGATTAACTAATGAGTTGTTTGGCAGTTGTTGAATGGTTTGGTGCAGAATGATTAAGAGGCTCTCATGATATAGTAGAAAATGAAATATAAGTGTTCGATAATTGTTTTACAATGAAATTAGGGTGCTAAATGGTTAAGGGAGACCTATGATAAAGAATCATTTAGAGGGTTTTAAAACCATTAAGAGACATACCTTTTTTTGTCAAATAAGATTTACCTTTTTGTGATTCAGAGATTGCACCTAAAAAAATAAAACCTTCCACAATTCTTTCATACCTCACTCTTTGTACTCTCCAGTCCTGTCATTATACCAACCATAACCAGTACATAATACCAGGATTAGGATTTGAATATGTATGGTGTATATAAACTTTTCTGTTAATCTAAAGGTAAAGAATGTTGCTTTAAAACAAGGGATTTAATTAAAAATTGTAAAATCAACGGTGCAGATATGACATACTTGAATGATTGAAATAATAAAACAAAAGGAGAGTTTAAAATGATCTTTTAGATCAAAAAAGCCAAAATTAAGTTGAAAAGGTGAATAGTAAATATCAAGACAAAATTCCATCCTTGTTCTATGAAATTATAGTTTTCATTTTGAGATATTTAGTATTATCTGTAAACATTTTTTTTCTTATCTGATTACTCTAGTAAGGTTGGGTTCAAGGGAGACCAGCCTGTTTTCGTGAGATCCGTGAGATCACTTTTTTACATTTAAATTTTATAACAAAACGCTGTGAAGGTAAAAAAAGACAAACTTTCACAGCAAAAACATTGTGAACTTTCAAGTGTAAAAAAAGTGGTCTCATGGGTCTCACGAAAACAGGCTGGTCTCATGTGATCCCTATCAGATAACCAAAACAAAGACAATTTATCCATGAGAAAAGTCACTATGAGATAATGTAACGTTACAAACAAATGAAAGTTAGAAAAGTATATATGTTTTTGTTTTTGAAATGAACCACACACTGCAATATGCATTTTTGAATGATTATCATTATGTTATGTAGTTTCAAGGGTATTTTTTAATCGTAACATATTTTTGATCTATCTCAGGCACGGTACCAATATGAGTTTTAGGTTACACGGAAGAAAGATAAACATATGGGATTCCAAGAGATCCTAAATGATTTTTCTCCCCAACGCTGCTCCTCTTCCCCGCATTTAGGCATCATTTGAGGCTTCATGTTGACAATATTACTTCAATAATTGCATGATCATCAACTTCTTGTCTGATAGCATTTATTTTTTTGTCTATATTTTGTAAATGTAAAAACTCTACAAAAAAATAATGATCGACAAACAATTGTATATTTGTAAATGTCTTTGGCTTAGCGGTATCATAGTCTTTGGTCTCATAAGAGGTCAAATGTTCAAACCTGATCAAAAATGAGGAGGACGTGTGAGTTTATTTGTTGCATTTACCGTATATAAATATTATATACCTCAAAAAAAATCTTGTATATCATAGTTACAAACTGTAAACTCGATTTTGATGTTTTCAAGATTAACATACTTTAATAGCCTGAAACATGTGTTGACTATTTGACTTAAAATGAAATTGAACTTTCAAACTTGGTAAAACGTATTTAGAAAAAGAACTATAAGTGTGCTCGCATAATATTGCGAGATATATCTCAATTTTAGTGTTTCGTTTTATTATTTATCTATGTCGATACATATGGGAGTGTTTTTGAGAAAACGATAATGTTTTTTTATTTTTGAATAAAATATAAATTTAAATATATCATAAAATTTTGAAAAAACAAATATCGATATTAGTATTAAATTTACTATTTAAAGTTCTGGTTTTTTTTTTGTATAATTTCTTTAATTCAATATTTTATTTATAATTTAACTTAGATTTTACAGAAGTAATTTATTTATCATTTAATAATATAATTTTTATAAATATAATAATTAAATATTTTATTATAACTAATGATTATCTTAATTATATTTTAAATTTTTTAAATGAGATGTCTATCACGTATTTATTATGTTTATCTATAATTAGTTACACAAATTCAAAAACAAAGCTTTAATAAGTTGTGTGTAACGCACAATTTGCTTGTGATATTGAATTTTAGGTAATATACATCAATAAACATTAAACAATACTTTATGCATAAAAAATAGTTTTTAAGAGTTTTTATCAAATGATTTATAATATAGTATAGATAAACAATTGTCTTTGTAGATGAAATAAATAATGTCAACAAATCTGATTCTAGAGTATATTTCGATAACAGAAAAGAAATATTCAAATAAATAATATCATTATAAAAACAAATTATGACGATACTCAGACGTATAATTCTATTTCAAACATCGAAAATTCATGTTCGTAATATATAAATAAGAAGAAAACGAAAAAGAAGTCGAAAAATAAGCCACTTAGGATATCTAATTGCTATCTCGCATTAGCTATGTATTTTTTATAGTTGAGGCGGTGCAATTAGCTAGAAAGCAGGGTTGTTTAAAAAAACTGTTGAACCGTTTAAACCGGTCAAATCAAGTTAAACCAGATTGTTTTTGGCGGTTTGAGTGGTTTGGCGTTTGGTCTAAAAAATCGTCAAACCGTTGGGTCTAGTCTGGTTTGCGGTTTAATGGAAACATTCTAAATGTAATGTATTTTTAGTTTAAAGCCTATAAGAGGCCCAAACCGTTTAAACCGGTCAGACCATACCGTCTTTTTGTGGTCCGATTTAACCGGTTTGGTCACTTGCTACCAAATGGCTCTGTTTGAAATTTTTCTAAACCGCCATTACGGTCTGATTTGTGGTTTTAGAGGTTAAACCGTCTAAACCGGACTGCAAACACCGATGCATTATGTTTAGTAAATGATATCAAATAAATCTTATAGTTAAGAGGTCCAGTCATACAATCTTCATTCATCGAATCAAACAACGAGTCATTTGACTGATGAAAAGACGTATCATGAGGCAATGAAACAAACCCATGTAGAACACCACTTCATTCAATATAAAATGGTTGAAACAAAACCACAAGGGTGGTGTCTGATTGGTCTGAGTTTGGCTCCAAAGGTCAAAAGTACCAGGATATCCCAGGTTTAAATCTAAGGAGGAATAAAAATCCCCTTGTGGCCATGGAGGTTCAAATACGGTGACTCCGGGCTATCTACAAAACAGGTGATCGTCCTGAGATTAGTCCGCTCGCATAACGAGTTGGATATCCAAGTTAATAAAAAAACGGTTGAAACAATGAAACCACTAACAATGACAATCCAACTAATATGTTCACAAATACTCTTCTAATTTGCAATCAGTTATTTCTTAAAATCAAGTCCGAAACAAAGATTTATCGTATGAACTTCGTGCCCCCACACTTTTTTTACAACAATTCCCGGTTACACTTTGCTTAGAGAAAAAGAGAACATTCATAATGACTTTGATGATCATTTTTTCCTCTAGGGGTTGTTTGACTGTTGCTAAATGATTTGGTGTAGAATGATTAAGAGACTCTCATAATATAGTACAAAATGAAATATAATTGTTTGGTAATTGTTTACAAAAAAATTAGGGCGCTTAATGGTTAAAAGAGGCTTAAGATACAAAATTATTCAGAGGGTTTTAGAACCATTAAGAGACACATTTTTTTGTCAAACAAGATTCACCTTTTAACGATCCAGAGGTTGCCTTTTAATGAAATTATTAAGAGGTAAACATACAATCTTCAAGTTAATCTACACTATATTATAAAACATTTGACAAAAACTCTTAAAAATCATTTTTTATGCATAAATAATAAATTACTTTTTATTGATGCATATTACTTAAAATTTAAGATTACAAGTGATTTTGCGTAAGTACAACTTATTAAAACTCCAATTTAAATTCGTGTAACTAACTGTAGATAAACATAATCAAATACAAGATAAACATCTATTTTGAATATAAAAAATCTAAAATATAATTAAGATAATCATTGAGGTTCTAAAATATAAAATTATATTATTAAACCAAAAATAAATTACTTTGTTATTAGACCTAAATTAAATTATAATAAAAAATTGAATTAAATAAGTTATACCAAAAAATAAGAACTATTAAATAGTTAATTTGATACTAATATCGATTTTATTTTTTATTTATTTTATCTTTAAATTTATATTTTATTAAAAAATAAAAACATTATCGTTTTATCAAAACTACATAAAATCGTATTATATCAATAGAGAAAAAAATAAAAACTAAACACTAAAATGAAGATTTATCTCGTTTCATTGTGCGGATACCCTTTCTAGTATGATTAAAATGAAATGAAAATATGTAATTAATATTATTGTAAGTAAATAAATAAAATAAAATTTTAATTGTGTAATAAAAAAATAGTAAATTACTTCTTTCTTAGTTTGCTAATAATTTTGATTTTCGTCCTTGTAATTTAAAAATTGTTATTTTCATCCATATAATTTGTAATTTATTGTTTTTTTCGTCCATAAACTAATTCATATCTATAAGTACAACAAAACGGTAAAAAATTGTAAACCACAAAGACTGAAACAACAATAAATTATAAATCATGAAAACATAAATAACAATGAATTATAAATCATATAAACAAAAATCGTAATTTTTAAATCAAAAAACAAAAATCACAATTTCAACAAATCACATAAAAAATGTAATTTATGGGTCGTTTACCAAACGCTTACCCGAGTAAGCATTTATCAAGTCGTATTACATTATCGAATGACTATGACAAGAATCAAAAATCTTATCCGGTAAAAATAAAACAAAGACCGATAGTCCTACCCGGTAAGTGAAGGTGACGACCCTTATACGGTTAGCGCTTATCGGGTAGATTTTTACATACATTGTCGTTTTTTATGGATTAAAGTCTTGTTAGATAAGGTAAGTGATGATATTGAATTTTACCAGTAAGCACTTACCGAATAAGTGTTTACGTAAACGGTCCCATAATAAAAAAAATATAAAAATACAAAGGGTGTTAATTCACGTGATTTTGGGGGGTATTCTGGTCACACACTCAATTCTCGTGGCCCCACTCTTCCGGCACGCACAAATCGTGTGACCTCGCACGTTTGGTATCATATGCTTCACACACACCCAATCCCTACCCCCCTTCGTTCGTGCCAATTCCTTCACACGAGCGCCGATAACCTAACCCTCGCCGGAAATTCTGTTCCTCTCTTCTATACTCCCCGCCGGTACCATCGGCATATTCCACTCAGCGTATCTCAACGGCTGTATTTTTTTGTTTTTCCGGCGGATGCTGAACTCCGGCGAGCTCACCGCAAGGTTTTCTCTCTAGATCTAACCGGTAGTTATCGTGTTATTTGTGAAGGAGGTGTGAGGACGTCTTTCTTGTAGCTTTATGAAGACGAAGATGGAGGTTTTTGAAGCGTTACCGGTGAGGAATTTGTTCTAAAATTTTGACAATTTGTTGCTTTTTTGCGATGCTCGAGTGAAAAATGCTTCGATGAAGTTGTGAAATGGGGAAATTCCTTTTTTTCATTAGAATGTTGCTGAATTCAGCTTTGTTTAGTTTGCTTTTTTTCTTTTCTTTTGGAACTTCTTTTTCTTGTGGAATTATCGTGATTCTTCGTTGATGAATTTGTAGTTTTGATATGGTTGTTCTTGTTTCTACCTTTTTTGGCATGAAATATGGAGTAAAAAATTCGTACTGTGGAATGTATGGAATACAAGTTCTTCAGTTTTTTAGGTGATTGAATTTGTGGATTCTTACGAGCTAATGATAGTTTGATTGTATCATGGAGGGTCGGAATTTTGTTTTGCCAGCATAATTAAATGTCTTCCTTTTGTTATTAGAACATACTGAAAATGGTACTGTTTCAATGCCGGCAAAGTATTGTGCATTAGAAAGGAAATAATAACACCTACATTTTTCTTGATTTCTTTATCAAACTAAAATATCTACCTGCTTCATCATTTTGCCGGTTCAAAAATGTTATCAATGCCCACAAAACTTTTGACCGTTTCTTGGTCTTTGTGATGCTTGAGTGAAAATGCTTCAGTTTGTTCGAAGTTAGGAAATGGTGAAAATTCCCTCTTTTTCATTGCAATGTTACTGAATTTAGCTTTATTTAGTTCGTTTTTTTTCCGGGTCTTATGTTTTTGGTGGGAACTATGGGCTTTGATGAAGATTGTGATCTTCATTAATGAATTTGTTTCATCATTTTGCTGGTTTAAAATGTAATCAATGTCCACAAAGCTTCTAACATGGTATCTTAATCATTTGGACAGACTTTAGGGGAGTCGAAAGTTGAGTATGGTGCTGATCATGGAGGGATGCTTCAAATTCTAGCATTTTGAGCCCTTGATATTATCCTCCCAGTCTGCAGATTTATGGCAACTGAAATGCAGAGATTTGGGACAAGTGAAGAAGAGGATGAAGAAATGGGTTTGGATGTTAAAGAAGAAGGTGAGAATGATGAAGATGATGACGATAAGAACTCGACACCTCCAACAATGGTGGGTGTTGATGGAGGACTTCTTACATCAAGCAGAAGCAATAATAGGTTTCAGCATCAGCAGCAGTTTCAAGACCAGATGACTCCACAAGGAGGTGGTCGAAGGTGTAGACCGATAGAAGAAAAAGAGAGAACAAAGCTTCGTGAACGACAACGGAGGGCAATTACGGCAAAGATTTTGGCAGGCCTTAGAAGACATGGGAACTACAATCTTAGGGTTAGAGCTGATATTAACGACGTGATTGCAGCCCTAGCGAGAGAAGCTGGTTGGGTTGTTCTTCCTGATGGAACCACTTTTCCATCAAGATCACAGGTATTATCTTCGAAATCTTAGCCTCCTGGATCACTGCATATCTTCTTGTAGGTGCTATAAGCCTATAATACAGCAGTTTGGTGAACTGTAGTGTTGATGATTCAACTATTAATGTCTGTCATTTTATTTATCAAGAAGACAAGAAGTATGTTCATAATCCACATGAAGTGGAAGATGATTATGCCTTGGCTTCAAGAGCACTAATTGCATCAATACCAAGTTTGTCACACATACATTAATTTATGTAAATAAGCATCTATCCTGTTACAGTGGTCAAAATATGAAATCGTGCTCAGGAATGTGATTTGAGATAGCGGTCATCCTGATGGTAAAGCTGTCCCAGAACAGCGGTTCATATAATATTTAGAATTATATTAATATATACAAGGTTTTAAAATATGGAAATACGAGACTAGGCGCAAGCCTTGAGGTGCACGTGCAAGTCTTGAGGCAGAAATAAATAAAATTAAAAATAATATATATAGGTTCACTAGACACAAAATATTATATTACCACCAGACTATATAATGCTAGACACAGTGGGTGACTTGGGGATATACCGTATACGAGCAGAAGAACATTAAGGAGAATTGGAGAAGAATTCCCGAAGGACTAGAGTAGACAAGGGAGTAGAAAGAAGAGTGGATTCACAGTTGAGAGAGAAGAAAGCGCTGTCCTTTTGTGTGGATTTGGACAAAATCAGAACAGTCAACAGAGGCAACCACCTCACTATCCCTCATCGCCTCCCCACCTCTGTCCTCACCTCTGGCAACCAAGGTGTACGACTCACATACGGGTTTTAGAACCATATATATATGCGTATAGTTGTGTACTTGTATACATAACATATTATATGCATTCAATAAAATATATAATCTCAACACTTAAGAAAATAGCATTTTGGCAGTCAAATAGCATGTTGGACGGTAGTGATTGAAATTGCATTTTCGTATGTATTTTTGGGCAGCTAAATACATGCTCCTAATGATTAAAAAGAAATAAATAGAGTTTAGTTTGACTTATAAAGCCAAACAAACTAAATTGAGTAGATACACATGCACAGAAATCTTGAGGTGGTGAAGTGAAGAGCCTGAAGTCTTGAACAGACATCTTAACCTGAAGGCTGAAGTCGTACTCGTGAACAGAATCAGAGAAGAGAAGAGACGCGATTGAGAGTAGATATGCGATTGATTGTGATAGTAGATTAGCGATTGGAAGTGAAGAGGCGCGAATTGAAGTCGTGAATCTTAACTGTTTTCTTCAGAGTAGAGGTGCGATTGAGAGAGAATCAGATGGAGAAACGTCGATTGGTCGTAAAAATCAAGCACAACAAAGTCGGGGTTTTACCACCACTATTGCAACTGAAAATTGCAGTAAAAAATGCGGCAAATAGCACCGCAATTTGGCACAACTATTCTCCAGAAGACCATCCACCACTATAGCGGCGTGGTTAACAGTATAAATTAGCATTTTGTAAAGGATTAGGATATTGATTATTGAAAAATATGTCAAAAAAGTAACATGATGTTTGAATGGTAATAATCTATTTGTGTCCTCCACACACAATCCTACAACAAATAGATGGCCAACCAAAAACATGCCTGACAATAGCACTTCCTTTGTGGTCGCTAGTGAATTATCCCAAGGTATGGTGGTCTGTCACTACTCTCAGCGTGAGTTGTATCATGTGGGTGCGTTTGGTATCCAGCCAGGACATGACAGGACAACTGTTCACCGTTTGATAATACTGAACTGGACAAGACATAACATATAAATGACCAATTGACACCTAATAACTTGTTTATATCTTTTATATATTTTGATTAATTTATGTAATTTTTAAGTTGTAATAAATAAATATTTTTAATAACAAAATATATCATTAGAAAAGTTTTGGCAAGATGATTAAAATGACACCAAAATAAAAAGTTCATATAGTTTCCAATTTTTATTTTACACCTTTTCTGTATTATATTTTTTATTATTATCTAATAAATTATATAAATTAACCAAAATATAGAAACCGTATAAAAATAATATTTTGAGAACAGTAAAGTAAAAGTGTAAAAGAGTATAAAATACAATAAATAAAATTTAAAGAAGAAATAAAATATAAAGAGGGAGGCCCATTTGATGTTTTAGAAGAGAATTAGGTTTTATTTTGAGGTTATATTGGTAAAATATAGGTGTGCTTCACCTTGTTCCATGGGGTGGGGGTGGAACACGTCTGTTCCACTTTGTTCCATATAAAAGTCCCGCCAAACGTGGAACAGTGATCCCTGTCTGTCCTTGCTGTCCTGTCCACCCATGTGAAAAAGTTGCACCTCAAGCAAATTCAACATAACACTAGCATGGATAGGTGAAGGGAGTCATCTACCTCTCTTAATCTCTCTTCGACCCATCTTAGCATTTTTCACATTAACATGACCTTACTATATGGTGTTTTACCTCATTGTTTAGATCTTATTGATCTGTAGGTTGATAGTGCATCTGTTAAATATACAGGGTGTGAGACCACCTGCTGGTGCATCAAGTACACTGGCAACTTCATCCACCTCACTGCCATTGCAGCAGAGCCAAGCTGCTTCTTTAAGAGGCATTTCTTCCGCCTGCCCAATTAGGATGGATGATGAGGCATGCCAAATGAAAGGTCTCTTTGTTCCTTCTTCTTCTGCTTATGATGTTTCATCAAGCTCTCGGTCTCAGTCTTCTCATATGCTTGGAGTTGAAGTTGATGGTCAGGATGACCCTCTTATAGGAGTTTCTGTAGATACCGTTGGCGGCAGGCAGGTTAGAGAATCATTTCTCTGTTTGGCTTCTGATATCTATTTAGTTTCTGTTTCCAAATAAATGATCAATAATTTTGCAATATTCGCTTATGTCATTGATTATTTTAGTATTTGAAAACTTATTTCCTAGTTCCCTAACTTGTTTTGTCCTTCTCTGCATCGTATTCCCAATTTAACTTTTTCGAAACTTAAATATTTTCTAGGGTTTAGAGTTTAGAATGCTAACACTGACCTTTTTAATAATATTCACTTTTCTAACACATTTCCATGATGGATATGTTATTCATTACTTTTTGTTAGGTTGTTGACATGCCTTCGAAGTTACAGGAACGCGATTTTGCTGGTACTCCTTATGTTCCTGTTTATGTATTGCTTCCTGTAAGTTGCAATCCTTGCAAAGAGTTATAATTTCTCCTATTTTATTGGGTAGTTTCTGTTGAAAGAATTTATCATTAATCTCTTTAGAGCATCTCCAACAGATCCTCCAAAATGGAGAAAGTAGGAGAGATAGGATAATAATCTCCAAAACTGGAGAACTCTCAAAAATTAAATGCTAAAAGAGAGACGGTTTTTTTATTGTTCCCACCAATGAAGTTGAATATCGTTTTATATAGAATTTATTTGAAAATTTCTTGGGATATTAAATCTATTGAATATTTTAATAATATAATTTATGTTGAAATCTCCAAAATGGAGAAACCGTTGGACTTCAATTTTGGAATTTTAAGATGAAACCAATAGTTTTAGTTGTTTATTATGGAGCTTACTATTAATACGACACTATCTAATACAAGGGGATGTTTTCAAGTGTGTGTGTGATGTATTACAAATTCGTGTGCAGTTGGGAGCAATTAATTTGAAGTGTGAACTTGTTGATCCTGACGGTCTTCTAAAGCAACTAAGGATTTTGAAATCAATCAATGTCGATGGCATAATGGTTGATTGTTGGTGGGGTATAGTTGAAGCACATGTGCCACAGGAGTATAACTGGAAGGGATATAAAAGACTATTTCAGATGGTGCGCGAACTTAAACTTAAGTTACAGGTGCGTCTTACCAAAAATATGTTACTAAATCCCCACTTCCATTCACCCGTTTCTGATTCTAGGACAGACATATATCGTCAACTGCTGCTGTCAACACCTACGTTGTGTTCTCTAATGTGGAGAGAAAAGAAAAGAAAAGAAATGGATGGATGGAAAAGAAAGAAAACATTTTTTCATGTTCTTGAACAGGAGAGAAAGGAAAGGAAAGATGTCATTTTTACGGGTACACCCTTTAAAAATATATCCTTTATGATGAAAGGTTGGGCAGTTATGTAATTTTAATAATATTTATGGTTGTAATTTCTTTCCTTCTCTTACCTTTCCTCCCACATTTGGAAGGAAAGTTTTGGGAGGAAAATTATCATTATTTTCCTTCCGTTTCTTTTCTTTTCTCTCCTAAAAAAGTTTCGAGAAAAAAAGTTTTTTTTTACTCCCTTTCCTTTGTAAAAATGGTTTCGAGAACACGAGAACACAACGCTAGACTCTGTTCTCGAAACTTTTTTTAAGGAAAAGGAAGGAAAGGGAGTGAAAGGAGGAGAAAACAAAAATATCATGTGTTCTAGAAACTTCTTAGGAGGGAAAGGAAAGGAAAGGAATAGTACAATTTATGTTTCCTCCCAAACCTTTTCACCCAAATGTGGGAAGAAAGGGAGGGGAAGAAATGATCTCTTATGACAAAAACACCCTCATACAACCACATTATAAGAAGTGAGAAAAGACAAATATAAAGGATATATTTGTAAAAATGACTTCTTTTTCTCTTTCTTCTCTCCAGTTCAAAAACATGAACCATTGTTTCCTTTTCATTCCTTCCCTCCCCTTTCAAGAACACAAATAAAAAAATGTCTTTTGTTTCCCTTCTTTTCCTTTCCATTCTTTTCCCTTCCTTTCCTTTCTTTTCTTTTTCTTCACAAATTTGAGAATGCACTAGTTATTTACTTCTAAATTTGCCCAGGTAGTAATGTCTTTCCATGAATGTGGAGGAAATGTCGGTGATGATGTTTGTATACCTCTACCACATTGGGTGGCTGAAATTGGTCGGAGCAATCCAGACATATTTTTCACAGATAAATCAGGAAGACGCAACCCAGAATGTCTCTCATGGGGGATTGACAAGGAACGTGTTCTAAGAGGTCGAACTGCTTCAGAGGTACTATATCCAATCTAGTTATATTATTGTTGACATGTTAGTGTGCACGTTGTAGTCACTATTTATATGTGGCATGTTGATGTTATAAAAAACGATGTAGGTTTACTTTGACTACATGAGAAGCTTTCGGGTTGAATTTGACGAGTTCTTTGTAGATGGAGTCATCTCGATGATTGAAATTGGATTGGGTCCATGTGGGGAACTACGATATCCATCTAATCCTGTAAAGCATGGTTGGAGATATCCAGGTGTTGGTGAATTTCAGGTAATCGTTGATATAACTGTAGAGGTCAGGTCTGCGTACATCGTACCCCCTCCCCCGGGGGCGAGACCACACCTCCGGGTGGGTTACACGGGGCTCATTTGATTTATAGGTGTACCTGCATCACGCTTCCTTCTAAAGTTGACTAGTACTAGTAAATTAGATGTTTTATCCATCATGTCACTACCATCTTGTAATCAATCACTTTTGAAGCTTATACTTGTTGTATGGGTTCCAATCTTCAGTGTTATGATCGATATATGTTGAAGAGCCTGACCAAGGCAGCTGAAACAAGGGGACACTCATTCTGGGCGAGAGGACCAGAAAATGCAGGTTCCTACAATTCTCGGCCGCATGAAACCGGATTCTTTTGTAATGGAGGCGATTATGATAGCTATTATGGCAGGTTCTTTCTCAATTGGTATTCTCAACTATTGATCAACCATGGTGATCGGGTGCTTTCTCTGGCCAAATTTGCTTTTGAAGGAACTTTCATTACCACAAAGGTCAGTTGGTTTGAAAGAAGCTTCTTCTTGCAGAAAGTAAATAACTTGCAAAATATTTTGAGATAAAACAGAGCAATTTCTTTTGTTATCTTAGGGGCTGTTTGGTTGGTTTTCCATTAAGTCTTGTATGAATAAAGTTGTCTGTGTGGATTAATCTGTTTATATAGATTGGGAAGGTTTTTGTTTGAAAGAAGAGTTTTTTCATAGATGAAAGGAGCGTGTTTTTTAATTGGGAGAGACAGGTTTGGAAAATTTTTGCTTTCTGCATAAAGCTCTTCCCTAGAGACTTACTGAATAAACCACTTTCAATATCATTAAGCCACTACCAAACAGTGATGTATAGCTAACCGAATAAGCTAGGAGTCTCATTAAGCTAATTAAGCTGCTAACAAACAGGCCTTTATCTTGATTAAACTGAACTTGTCTCAAGCTAGGTGGGTGTTTGATAAAATTTTGGCATGCATCTATCTCAAGCTTTCCTAGTGGAACTCTTAAATCTGGTTCACGCACTTGCTTCATACTCTAAAGCCCTATAGCCCAAAGCAGCAGTCTGACCAATAACCTTCAAATCAACTTAAAATCATGGTGGAAGTAATTGGAGCCCACAACTTTAAGCTTATAAGAGCTCACAAATCTAATTTTCTATCGACATGGGATGGGTTGTTACAAACTCCCTCACTTAAATTCCTGGCGTTCTCATCACTCCTTCTCCGCCTCCCTCAAGGACTTATCCTGCTTGATGAGGTTTGCCCCACCATCCCGATGGTACAAGGATCGGCTCTGATGTCATTTGTAATGGTCTATGGCAGACTGACCCAGTAACCTCCAAATCAACTTAAAACCATAGTGGAAGTTATTGGTAGCCCTCAACTTTAAGTTATGAGGAGCTCATGAATCTAATTTTCTACCGTCAATATATGAAGATATCTGATTTTTTTTTGTGATAGGTTTGATTCAATTTGTTTTCGATATTTTAATTCCCGAGCAGCTATCAGGTATTCATTGGTGGTACAAGACAACAAGTCATGCCGCCGAGTTGACTGCTGGCTTTTATAACCCATCCAACCGTGATGGCTATGCTTCAATTATGGAAATGTTAAAGAAGCACGAGGTTTCCTTAAACTTTACATTGGCTCATATGGGCATCTCGGATCCACACATGGACTCATCAGAAGCACTTGGAGATCCTGATGGTTTAGCTTGGCAAGTAAGTTGACTGAATATATTGTTTTGTGAAATTGTTTGACCATTAGTCAAGTGCCTCGTATGCTTCCTTAAAAAAAGTGCCTTACATACCGACTCTTTAGTCTTAACAACAAAATAAGAAATCTTGTGGACTAGAATTGGTGGCATAAGTTGTGATGGAGGATAATGAGCAAATAGGTAATTGTAACTTTTTAAATTCACCCGAAAAAGACATGTTACGAATCTTACGATAACCTTGTGCAATTTTCATGGGACGAATGGTAGTACTTCATAACGTCTCCTTTTATTAAAAAACCAAGTTTTGCAACCCTAAAGAAACATGCAAGTACCTTCTTGCTCAACTCGTTCACAAAGCCGGGGGTCTTCACAAAAACAAATGGTTTACTCTTTTTTGGGTAACGGTCAGGTCTGCCTACATCTCGCCCCTCGTGCCCTACTTTCTAGTGGAATTTTAAATACTCACACACACTTCTTACCTTTGGTGAGGTTTGAATCCTTGACCCACTGGGAGGTTGGGCTCTGTCGGTAACCCAAGTACCGCTGAGCCAATGACCGTGCAATCATTTTCGAGTGGGATTTATCGGGTTGGTTTGCCCATGAGACTTGAGAATTCTTAACGAACTTGCACTTGTTTCAAATTTAGTTTTCCCTATTATAACAAGCCCTATATCAGCTTTACTAAATTTAATTTGTTACAAATAAATGTAAATAGATAGGATAAGAAAAAGAAAGCATTGCTTTCTTTCTTACTCGTTTCTTTTGGTGATCGACTTGTCTACCCATTGCACTTGGCTTTCATTGTAAAGATACCAATGTTTTTGCTAAATGCCCAAAAAAACACATTGACTTTGCAAGAAACGGTATTTTCAAGGAAAAAAGTGCCGAATACAATGGGTTGTTTTGTATCTACAATTCCATATTTATTCAAACTTGCTATCTTTGCAAACTACAATACTCACTCCGTCCGGAAATATGTGTTCACTTTCAAAAGTAATTGCGTACTTTTTAATTCCTAACTTGATTATGAGATGGAGAAATTCATTACCCCCACTATTATTAAGGGTAAAATTGTCACTTAGTTAAGAGTAAATTACGTTTTTCGTTTTTATGGTTTGTTAAAAGTTGCGATTTTTGTCCCTGTGACTTAGAAATTGCAGTTTTTGTCTCTATGGTTTGTAATTCAATGTTATTTTCATTCTTATGATTTACAATTTATTCTTGTTTCGTCCCTGTGGTTTACAATTCTTTACAGTTTTGGTCCCTTGTACTTGAAAGGTAGGAATTAGTCCAGGGACGAAAATAGGAATAAGTTGTAAACTATAAAATAGCAATAAATTGTAAACCATAGGGACGAAAATTGCAATTTCTAAACCACAGGGATGAAAATTTAAATCATTAACAAACCACAGGGACGAAAATCATAATCTACTCTTTAGTTGATTAAAAAGTGTAATACTTTCATATTTATAAAATCGTGTCTCTTTTTCATTATGGACATTTATTTTCGGACCCCATAAGGCTTTTTTAAGTTTCAAAGGGGTGTGGAAGGAATATTTTTGTGGGATTTTTACAAGAACGAGGGTTAGTTTGCAACAAAATTCCAAGTGCGGTGGTTTGAAAAGTCAAAGACTGTTTTTTGGTTGAAAATGCTCAATAAGTTTCTTGGAATGCAGGTGGTGAATGCCGCTTGGGATTCTTCTTTACTTATCACGAGTGAGAACGTTCTTCCTTGCCTCGACAAAGTAAGCTATAACCATGTACTCGAGAAGGCTAAGCCTCTGAACGATCCAGACGGAAGGCATTACTCTGCTTTTACTTACCTTAGACTTGGTCCACTTCTTATGGAACCCCACAATATCATGGAGTTTGAACGGTTCGTCAAGAGAATGCATGGTAAGCTTCACTCACATCTCACTCGACTACATTAAAGAGCTTAATGGAACTCCCAGCTTATTAGGTCAGCTATTTGGTAGTGGCTTAATGATATAAAAAGTGGCTTTTATAGTAAGCTTCTAGAAGGGAACCTTATGCAGAAAGTCAAGTTTTTCTGAACCTAACCCTCCTGATTAAAAACACACTTTTTCCATCTATTAAAGAACTATCCCAAAACAAAAACTTTCCCAATCTATACAAACAAATTAATTCATACAGACAACTTTACATATACAGGGCTTAATGGGAAACCAACCAAACATCCCCTTAATGTTGCACAAAATGTGGGACAACAAGTGTTTGTTCTAACATGTTCCAACTCAGTAACATTAATTCGGTAATATTTTTTGGCTGGCTCGATTGCAGGAGAGGCGGTTCTTGAAATCCATGCATAGGCGAAGGCGGGATCGTGTGATGTGCATTATCATTCATACTAACCAAATCCCAGTGGGAAAAACTCAGGTCATATATTTAGTATTTTTACTGTAAATGTGAATACAAATGTAGAAATCCAAGGCCAGATGCAGAAAACAAAAAGGTAATTAATTAATTAATCTCTTTAGGGATTAATGTTATTATCTGTGGTCAATTCATTTGATACACTTGAAATTTGCAGAAATTAGATGAGGTTTTAGCTACTTGCACTTCTTCTGTAGTTAGATGCATAACCTATGGAGTTTCTGGTCCTATTTTGTTTGGTCACATCTTCATTTGCAGGTCTCATTTAAGGGTGCGTTTGATACGTTGACGGGTCTGGACTAGACAAGACAAAAACGGGTGGGAAAAAGTGTGGTATGCGTGAAAGAATTGTGCGAAGTTCTAGGGTTTTAATTTGATATGGGTTCTTCAGTAATTTACCAATTTTGTCATGTTATCCTGAAAAAAAATGCTTTTTTGTCCCACTTGGTCGTGCCAGTCTAAGTTGCGCTAAACGTGGGATAATAAGTTTTTGTTTTGTTGTTTTACATACCAAGCACACTACGTAGACGGGACAAGACTAGAGATGATGGGATTGGTTAAGCAAGAGCTGACTGTGGTAGGCGGGTGAAAGAATTGTTGAAGGTTTTAGGATTTTGATGCGACTTGAGTAGTTAAGTAGTTTACCATCTTCCGGATTTTTGGTCCACGTGTTTTAGTGGCTCATGAAAATACGCTTTTATCCCCCTATTTTGTCATGTCCTAGTATAATATTGTGCCAAATGTGGGACAATAAGTTATTGTTCTGTTATTGTCTCGTTCCGTTGGGCATACCAGACACACTACGTAGACGAGACATTGACATGATGGGATCCAAGCAGTTAAAGCGGTCGATTGTGGGAAAGCATGATTGGGATCTTGATTTGAAATCGCAATTATCGCGACAGTAGAGCGATAAGAAAAATTAGGTTCATAAAATAAATACAAATAGAGTATACCTGGTACATATCAAGTCAAACAATTCAAACCAGTAGCTATGGGTTCGGGCATGAATCGAGCAGGAGCTGTAGAGCCGAGCGGGAAATGAGAAGAAAACCGTGGATTGAATTGTTTAATTCAGAAGAAAACTCAAGCTGTTGAATCATTTGTGACTTGGAATTGATGACCAGAGTTTTGAACTTCCGAATAGTGACCAAAATTTTAGGTGTTCTGTTTTGTTGGTTTAATCGGTTTCCTTTTAGTTAAGAAATGACCCACAGAAATGAAAAGCAAAAGCCCACCCAAAGTAGATCTGAATTTTAAAAAATTTGGTCGAAAACAACCAAATTAAAGCGCTAATTGCGACCGATATTTGGGGTCTGAAATGCGGTTTTTAGCGGTAAATGCGGACACTATTTGCGGTACCGCTACTTTGCCTATGATCGCTAATCGTGATATCGAGGCTATAGCATTGCTTATTCCCAAAAAAAATTGCTCTAGTTCCGACCGGATGCATATCCACTTGTTACGATCTCTATTAAGGCTATGCCTGACAAACTGTTTGACAAGCCAATTATCGGCTGATAAGCTGATTGATTAGCTAATAAATCAGTTGATAAACTAGTTGTGTTTGATGAAAGAAAAAGTCCTAGTTGATAAGCTATATGACAATGAAAAAATATCTAAAAACGATGGGGTTGTTAGTGAATTATATAAAATAGAGTGTTTGGTTTCTGTAGTTTATCAAAAATAACACTCGTCATCCTTCCATGTTCGGAATTATAAGAGGACTATCGTAGTTTGTAAAACTTCTGGATTTGATCCCTCCTCTAATGGCCGTTAGATATGTCCACCTACTAGACTCACCTTTGGCTTTCGTCTCGGTAGGTGTATTATTCTACATTTTCCCAAAAGAACATTCATTCATTTCTTTCTTCCCCGTAGACCACGACGACAGAAAAATTCCGCTAAATGAGAGGCATTTTCTCGTTTTATTCATTTTCTGTCTTTTATGCAATCCAAAAGACAAAGACCATTGGGATCAAAAGCATAAAATCGATATTATTAGATAAAAAAACAAAAGAATTGATAAAGGTCAAAAAATGTTTTTCTTTGAACGGAATTTTTTGATTGCCATTGGAAGAACATACCAAATCCGGACATTTTCTAAAGCCACAATAGTCATCTTGTAATTTTAAAACTGCAAAGACGAAAAATATTATTTTCAAAAAACCATAGGGTAGTTTACAATATAAAAGGGGTTTAGTTGGTGATCCGGCCTGTTTCTCTCTCGACGATGAAGCTTAACCTCCATAACCCCTCTTATTTTGAGATCAAATCTAGTATTCAAAGTTTGCCTCGATTTAACCAAATTTGCCTGATGTACAGGTAATCAAAGAAAGCCGCACAAGCAAATATATAACCCACAGAAAAATGGGTTAATCCAACCAATCTTGCAGGTCCCCTAACTGGTTCTACCATAGAGGCCAACGATAAACAATAACTCCTATAATGAGCATAATTACAAAAAAAAAAAAACTGAAGCTTATTAACACACTACATGAAGTAACTTTTCAAAAAGCTAAGCTATAAGCCAATTTATGGCTTGGCAAACAAAGCTTTTCCAATAACCTCAAATCAAAAACTAAGTCAATGAGCCGAACACAAAATAACACGACTACGTTCACCATACACCAATTTCATAGCGAAACACGGAACTCACATGACCAAACGACAAAATAGAAACTCACGAAAACGACATACCGATCATACGAATGGGACCTGTAAAATGAAAATTACGCGACCGGACCCACAAAAGGACCCCTTGACCAAACAATCCAATAAGCATCAAAATGACCAAACTAACCCAAAAAACTGTACAAATACATGATACAAAAAGAATGGTGATTTTTCAAATACATATTCCTCTAAAAATCTAAACTTCAATACCAGTTGGTTTTCAGTACCATTTGGCCGGATTCATCGGTCTCAAAAATCCGACCAGCTAACTCGTCCCAGCTTTCTCTCCGTCTCGAGGACCCAAGCGATTCGATCGGCAATTTCTTGGATTCGTCTCCTCCCTGAACATTCCGGAAGGTTCCGTATTCGGTGGGCGAGTAAGCTTCTGGAACTTCTAGTGCAGCGGCCCTCGCTAATGCGGCTTTGTATTCCACCGAGTGCTCAATGGCTAACGATGTACTTCGTTCCATCCTTTGCTGTGGCGGGATATCCATAACACGATCTTTCTCCTTCAACGTCTGAGCTATGACAAGAGGAAAATGTTTAGGTTCGATCCAATCGAAAACCAAAGAGTCACTGGCCCAGCAGTGTCTACATTACTGATAGCGCACAGCCTCCCACAAGGTTAATGGCTTCAAATCTCACCAAAGATGAGGAGTGTGCATGAGGATTTGCAGTATATAAATATTATATAAGGTAAATTATGTTTTCATCCTTGTGGTTTCTTAAAAATTGCGGTTTTCATCCCTATGGTTTAGAAATTGTGGTTTTCGTCCCTATGGCTTGCAATTCATTACTATTTTTGTCCTTATAATTTACAAATTGTTGTTGTTTCAGTCCTTGTGGTCTATAATGCTTTACTGTTTTGTTCTCTTACACTTAAAGGTAGGACTTAGTCCAGGGACGAAAATAGCAATAAATTGCAAACCATAGGGACGAAAATCATGATTTCTAAACCCCAAGGACGAAAATCGTAAGTTTCCTAGAATTCCATCAAATCGGTTTTATACTGAATAATACTCTCCCCCGTCCCAAAATAAGTGTCTAGATTTCTAAACTAGTTTTTCCCAGAATAATTGTCTACTTTGGAAAGGAGTTACTTTCCAATTTTACCCTTAATTATGAGATGAAAAAAATCCATTATTCCCTCCATTATTAAGGGTAAAATTGTCATTTAGTTGAATAAAAAGCGTAATAATTACATATTTCTAATTACTGTGTGCCTTTTTCATCGTGGACATTTATTTTGGGATTGGGAGACATTATAGGAAACAAACCGAAGATAAAAACGTTGTTTTTAAGCAATTACATGATCAAAGAAGGTTGAGAACATACATCAAGTGCATTTTGGAACTCCTGTTCCATGAGAGCAATAGAATGATCACTAAGAACATGACACGAGAGAACCATGTGCTCGAATCTCCCATCCACGGGTACTGCCGTCTTCACAACCGGTGATATTCTTCCAACCCTGTACAAAATTCATAAACCCCACAAACGTTTAGCATCCCAGGACCGAAATTGAGACCATCCATAATTATATGTGATGACCAAGGGTAAATACGTAAATAAACCAACTAAACAAGGACCTGTTTTTTAGCAGCTTAATGAGTTTACTGGGACTCGTAGCTTATTCGGTCCGTTATACAAGACCATTAGGTAGTGACTTAATGATATAGAAAGTGGCTTATCCGGTATGCATCTGAGGGGAGCTTAATGCAGAAAGAAAGTTTTTTTTTTTCAAACTTGCCCCTTCCAATTAAAAACATGCTTCTTCCATTTATGAAAAAACCTTCCCAATCTATACAGGACTTAATGGAAGACCAACCAAACAGCTCCTAAGTCCAGTATGTCCCACCCGGAGGCGGGGTACACCAGGGAGTGAGATAGGCGTGACCTTACCTCTATCCTGAAAAGTAGGGGGTTGTTTCCGTGATTGAGCATGAAATGTTGCAAGTGTTACTATGTGACGGTTCAAAATTTAGAAAGTTGAATCTTTTTCACGAGATGGAGGGGGTTGAGCCAAATGAACATATGCACCAATTATACTCCCTCCGACCCAAAATACATGTCCACAACGAAAAAGGCATACAAATTTAGAAACGTGAAATTATTTAACTTTTTAATAAACTAAATGACAATATTACCCTTAATAATAGAGGGAGTAACGAATTTCTTCATCTCATAAATAAGAGTAGAATTAGAACGTATGCACTTGTTTTTGAAAGTGGACACTTATTTTGGAGCAACTAAAAATGGAGATGTGGACACGTAGTTTGGGACGGATGGAGTAGTAAATAAATTATTTTTATTATAGGATGCAACAACTTGAACTCAAAACCCTTTAATAGCATTATAAAACCATCTGCAGTTTATTTTCTTTTATTGAAAATAAAACAATATTATTTTGCAAAATAATTTATACAAGAGTAAATTACGATTTCCGTCCCTGTGGTGTGTTAATAATTTTGATTTTCATCCCTGTGGTTTAGAAATTGCTATTTTCGTCCCTAAACTAACTCCTACCTTTAAAGTACAAGATACCAAAACAGTAAAAAAATTGTAAACCATAGGGACAGAAACAACAATAAATTGTAAATCACAAGGATGAAAATAGTAATGAATTACAAACCATAGGTACAAAAATCGCAATTTTGAACCATCGGGACAAAAATCGCAATTTTTAAGAAACCACAGGGACGAAAAAAGTAATGTACTCTTTGGACAAATTAGACTCAACTTAAACGGATGGTGTAGGGTAGAGGTCAGATCAGTATACATCCCACCCCAACCCTGCTCTTGAGCGGGATATACTGGGACAGTTTGGTTTGGTGTGGTTCGGTTCGGTTTGGTTTGGTTTGGTTTGGTTTGATGTGTCTAAAAAGGTCATTTTATGTTATTATGTATTGTATACTCTCAAGTCCCAAGTCATGATTGCCATGGCTTTGGTATGACATAATCAGCAAGGTTCTATCTCTATCTTGGTCAGGAAAACCAATCTCTTTCGGGAAAAGATTGCGTATAAAGATTAAAGACTTGTCATCTTATCGTTCTTTTCCTTTTTCTCCAAATTCAAATACTTCATCGGCAAGTTGTTTTTCTCACACTCTTTTTTAAATTTGAATACTTTATCTTCACAGAAACAACCGCTCTACTCTTGGGGTATAGATCAAGTCTGCATACATCCCATCCCAGACCATCCTTCAAATGGAATATACTGGGATGGTTTGGTTTGGTTTGGTCTGGTGTGGTGCATACCAAGATTTCCATAGCCAACAAGGTTGGGAGACTTTGGGTGCACCAGGGTTGCCATATGGCATGTGCAGAACTACATCACCTAAAAGATGAGATAACGTAATAATGTATTCATGAAAAGATCTTGTGACATACCCGAATGGCTTCCTCACGATAACATGATAAAGGCGACCAGGTGCATATAAACGCCTCGGATCTTGAAGCATATGCTCCTGTAGCGTGCACGTTTCCTTTAAGCAAGTGCCACATAGTATGCACGGGAAACTATTAACCAAAAAAGCAACACGTTTTCACATGGTGGAGTTAGAAGATCTTCTAAGGGAATCGTGAAGGAATTCAAACCTAAATCTTATAACTTAGTTCATTAAGATAAAGCTAAAATCAAACTAGTTATAACATCAAAGAGGAAAAAGATATTAAGAAACAGATTTTTTAAAATAATACTCCTTCCGTCCTAAAATAAGTGTCTACGTTACTATTTTAGTTTGTCCCAAAATAAGTGTCCACTTTCAAAAGTAAATGTTTACTTTCCTATTTTACCCTTAATGATGAGGTAGAGAAACATTCTCTCTCTCTCTCTCTCTATAATTACGGGTAAAATATCTTTTTGTTAATTAAAAGGTGTAATAACTACACTTTCCTAAAATTGTGTGCCTTTTTAATTATGGTCATTTATTTTGGGATGCAGGGAGTAGATATAAAACACGAGAAGTAAGCGCTCAGTGATGTGCAAGCCAAAATATACTTGTATTGATCATAAGAGCTTTCTATCATCTCATTAATTGTTTTCTTACGATTTCACCAAATACCCAATACCAAGAGCATTCTACTAGTGTCATTCCTAACAGGTTTTGGGTCAATAAACTACACATAAAAATCCATAGAAAACAAGAAATATATGTCGAAGTAGCGTTGTCAATCACGTTTATAGAGTTGCTCCTCAATACAGTGACAATTTTTTTTTTTGTAATTGTGTGTCCGGACCAGCTTACGTGCACCTCGACTAATCCCATGGAGCCCAGAAGTTAATAGTCAGGCAATCCCTCCGGTAACCTTAAGGGTGCATGCGTTTGGTACACCGGACAGGACAAAAGAATAGAGATCATTGTTCCATGTTTGGCAAGACTTTTATGTGGAACAGACAGAAACACAGTGGAACAGGCGTGTTCCACCCCCACCCCATGGAACAAGCTGGAACAAACCTATATTTTACTAATATAACATCAAAATAAAACCTAATTCTTTTCGAGAACATCAAATACGCCTCCCTCTTTACATTTTATTCATTCTTTAAATTTTATTTATTTTATTTTATGCTCTCTAAACTTTCACTTTATTGTCCTCAAGATATTATTTTTATATGGTTTCTATATTTTGGTTAATTTATGCAATTTATTAAATACTAATAAAAAAATATAGATAAAGTATAAAATAAAAATTGGAAACTACATAACCTTTTTATTTTGGTGTAACTTTAATTGTTCTGACGAAAACTTTCTAATGATATATTTTGTTATAAAAGATATTTATTATATTATAATTTAATAAATTACATGAGTAAATCAAACTATATAAAATATATAAACAACTCACTAGGGGTGAATTGGTCATTTCATATGTTATGTCTTGTCTAGTTCCGTCTTACCAAATGTTGAACAGTTGTTATCTTCTGTCAAGTCCTATCTTGTGCGGATACTAAACGCACCCTAAGTGAACTTAAGCTCATGTGTGCATACTAAACGCACCCTAAGTAGACTTAAACCGGTAACCTCCGAGGAGCAAACCCAAGGTCTTATTGGTTGAGCTACCCCTTATGGTTAACACAATGACATTTAAACACTACGCTGAGAGACAAAAGGGATTTGTGTCATTTCCTTCACCTATGATTCAAATTGTGAACCATACAATTTCGTCAAAGATGTTAGACAGCTAGATGTTAGATATAGACCGAATTTGGACTACAAACTCATCTACAATTTCACGTAACCGACCATGTAAGAAAACGGTTACCACTATCACAAGAGTTTTCTATCTTCTTTTTATGTTGCTTAGTTTTCTTATAGAAGGGTTGTTTTCATCCGGTCTATATGTATAACTACTAGATTAACCTAACATAAAAAATCCTTTCTACGCATATGGATGTAGGCAAATTGCTGAACCATGTAAAAATTTGTGTTCAATCTATTCGTTTCCTGCAATTACTATTGTGAGTGTAACCTTGAGGGTCAACTCAACAAGCAAATAGAGGCTAGGCCTTGGGGATCCTTCCCATAGGTTGTCTGTTCGAGTCTCCACGGACCTGAAGGCCAATGGTGATTTTCTTGGTTATTATATTCAAGCCCCAGGGGATTAGTCGAGGTGGTACACAAGCTGGCGTAGACAACGGTTACCAAAAAAAGAGGCAATATAGAAGTTGCTTTGGTTCACACAAATCCAACTTCAAATGTTCTCAAGTTTTCATTCAATATCCTCAGCCACGTTTAAGCAATTATATAGCATAATTCCCAATCACCCAAGTCTCCTCTATTGCATGAAAGATTAAAGATTGCTCATTACTTATTTCTAGCTAAAAGTTGCAAACATCGAGAATAAGGAGACGTTTTGAGCCATAAAGATCGTTGAGTGCAAATTAAATTATACCAAAATGTGACCAAGAGCATACCAGAAAAGTGATTTGAAGAGTACTTCCAACGCTACACTTGTTCGGGGCATGAAATCATCCTGGTTCATCATAATAAGCTTATTAATAAACAACGCAAACCTACGTAAGAGAATTAGAAAACACATATCGGCATCACAAAAATGAAGTTGCATTGAGATTTAAGATACCTAAAACTGTCCATTTACTTCATTTGGTGGGCCTCGTCTCAGTTTTTCTTACATCAAGTAAATAGGCCCACAATCACATATAAGAAAAATGGATATATTGACATGTTAAATGCCCTAAATGAATAAAACCAAGATATTGAACATTAAGAGACATGATCGTTTAATATGGTGCAAAGTTACCGAAGAAAATGGCAAGATAGGCGATTAAGTACAATTGCCTATGTTATCCATTTAATGCCTGGTTTTCTTCTTATGAATATCCCTCTTCAGAGAATGGTTATAGAAAATTTGCGAGATATAATGAGAATCCTAGCAAGAACTATGGATGCAAACAAACCGTAAAACAATAAGTACCATGTTTGATTTTTTTGGTGTCCTGTAAGGCTGTAGTCATAATAGTGTGTATGTGATTAGCGATCCTAAAAGATTTACGAAAGAACCCATATGACCCCAATCCTAAGTTCTTTCAAAGCCTTAAATATAACTTTCATGCTCCTAGAAAAGAAGGGAATAGCAATCATGCATCTAAGAGGCAAATGTTTAAGGTTTGACCTTTCTGACTACAATGTCATGGATTTAGTTCACCAAGCATCCATGTAAAATGCAAGGAAAAACTGTGTACAAAGATTCCCTCCGCAAACCTCGAGAAGCCGAGAAATGGTGCACCTTGGTCGTTTTTTTTAGCCTCATACCGTGAAAAGCGTAAATTTGACGCAAAACGAAGGTATGAATTAATTCAAATGAAAATAACTGTTCAATGAGGTCCAAATGTTGATGTATGCTTAATTTGGTAGAAAACAATCAAGAAATCATTATTAAGAAAATACGTAAGACAAAGCCTTTACCTGAAGAACGACCGAATTGATGACATCTGCATATCTCACGGCCAAATTTAGGGACACACACCTAGCGGGAGCAATGGCGAAACATTTGATCCTTTTCCTCTCAATATTCCCAATTCTATCGCGGTTTTTCACTGCCAAAATTGTCAACAAAGTGACCACCCCTGCCCCTAATGAATGCCCGGCAAAAGTCAACGTATAATCCTCATACCTTTCGACCAACTCTTTCAAAACCTCACATTCGTTTTCAAACACCCATTGAGCAGCCTTCAATAACCCATTATGAACATACCCTCCATCGAACTTTGCCTGCCCCAATTTGTCATCGAGTAAAAGTAAATAATCACTTTCTTTCGCTAAATTAAGCCCACTAATGAGCAAAAGTATCTCTTGCTTATCATTATCGATATAAATCATATAAGGAGATACCTTCCCTTGATTTTCATCGTAATCTTTCTTCAAAATCACCTGATCAGGATCAATCCCATATCCTCCTGGAGGAGCCCAGAGAGGGTTGCGAATATCAAACTCATAAACAGCTAAAATATATCTACAAATTCGGGGTACGGGATCGAATTCAGTTGCAGTCGCAAAACCCCAGTTCTCACTTTCTCGACCTGCGGTATAAAGACATTTCTTCCATGCCCAACGAGCACAACCCAAACAGTACACACATTCAAGAATAGGACAACCACAAACAAGTGACATTTTCTTTCTTTTTTTTGCTCTTATGAACAAATCAAATCACACCTCAGAATTACCAGTAAGATCACTCTTTTATGCCCTATAAGTATGAATGAATCAGTGTGAGCCTTTAAACAATTGGTAAGGCTACTCTTTTATTCCCTGAACTCTGAAGTATGAACGAATCTGGGAGAACCTTAAAACAACCAGTGAGATTACTCTTCTATGACAGAAGGTCATCAGTTCAATTCAAGCTACGGAACCTTTTGCAAATTGAGGAATAAGTGCATACAAAACTTCCCTACCCAATTCGAGCTTTAGATTTTGACCAGAATAATTACAGATACAACCTCTTTGCACATCATAATCATCAAACTACCACAAATCTACTGGAAAATATGAATCATATGGACCGAGTAAATGATCAATTCAATACTTTCATCAATCTAATAACAACTTATATCGGAAGAAATCTGATGAGAAACTAATCAACATCACAAAGAGTAAAAACTAGATGAACCAGCCAACGAATTTTCAATCGATAAGGTCCATATCGGCATTGATGATATCACCAGTTCCATACGGATTTGAGAGTATAAATTTACAGAAATATCACCTGAAATTGCTGATTAAAATCAGATAATTGAACAATTTAGTGAAAACCTGGATAGTGATTGCTATGTTGGAGATGAATACCTCTGGAATTTGATATGGAAGTTGGTGTAGAACATTGGGAAGATGATCGAAGAGCGTAAGCAAAACCCTAGACTATAAAAATTAGGGAAGACCAGTTGTTGTAGCAGGTCGTGAGTGATTTATTGTATAAAATCTATGGAGATCGATTGATTCATCGAAGAATCTTGATGATCAAATAGATTCGGGAGCATATGCGAATTCTGGATAAAGGAGGGTGTTTTTTGTATTTGATGGAAAAATCAGGGGTGTTTTTTGTATTTGATGGAAAACTCAGGGGTGTTATCAATTTGACGGCAAACATTTGCACACGTTTTTATAATGTCAAGAACTCAACCATGCGGTGGTATCGTCGGTTGCGATTTAATGGATTTAGGTGGATTCGATCCGATCCAATCAATTATTAGATGTTGGATTTTGTCATCTGATCCAATTCGATTAGCATTGGACATTCGATTCGATCCAAATCCAGTAGATGATTGGAATGAATCGGTTCCATCTATTAGATGTTACTATTGGTTATCCATTGAATCGGATTTGATTCATGCAATACTTAACCAATTATTTATGTATTTTCTTAAGTTATTAAAAAGCAATGTATATAAATATCAATTAAAAAAATCATAAAATATTAATAATTATATATAGTTATTAATTGGATGTTAGTTGGATGGTCATTGTAGTGGATCAGTTCAGTTTTGTTGGATGTTGGACTGTCATCCAAGAACCGATCGATACGATTTGGATATTGAAATTTTGGAACCGATCTGATCCGATTCAATTACAATTGGATATCCGATAATGGTCGGTTGGTTCTAATTGGATCGGTCGGTTGATATTGGATCGGATGACTTTCTGCACACCTCTAATCCATGCAATACAGTGTAATATATTTTTATTTCGTCTTCTATATTTTATGGTTTATGTGGTTTTAAATGAACCAATTCGTCGTTCGTTAGTTATCAATTTGATAGAGTATTTTATTTTATTAGTAGGGTTTAACATTTATCTTGTATTTGAACATGATTATCAATTGGTTTTGAGCTCAGTACTGAGGGTGTATCAATGTGAGATTCTGAACAAGACCCTTAGAATTTTGGGCCCCCGATATTTTTTGGGGCATAATCATATATATTTTGATTGTTAGCTTATGTTTTACCTTAGACCTGCAAAAAAAATACATATATATTTAAATATGTATTATTTTTGCTAGTTTAGGCAAGTACAATGTATTAACGGTTTAGCCTAATGTCCTAATTCCTTTTCTTCTATTATATCTGGTGACCTGTCGGTTTCCGATTAGGACTAGTGATAGCCAAATGAGACCATCCCGGCCCGTAACCGCCGGAGGACCGGAACCGGGACCGACCGGAACCGGGACCGGTTGAGGACTGTCGGTTAAGATCCGGTTATTGATTTCAGCGAATTTTAGGCCCGGGACCGACCGGAACCGGTTATGGCAGGACAGTTACCGCCGGTTTTTGTCTTGATTAGGACCGGCCGGGACCGGTTAAGGACCGGATTTTGGCCATCACTAATTATGATTGTGAATATGAAATCCCGTATTTGAAGACTACCTCTTCTAATCGGCTAGTCTCGTTCATCTTAATTCTACTGATGGATGATTTTATGATTTAAGTACCAAACATGATTTTACTTGATAGTTTTCCTCTTTCTTGTTATTTGTTTTCTTACGTTATTGTTCGATGAATAACTCCACCTACAGGTGTTGTTGACTTCATTTATCGTGGTACTGATTACCGTTGTTCATATCACTAGAGCTCCTTAGAGATGCCTAGAAAAGTTAAGAGTTAAGAGGGAGAATTCGGCTGTAGAATCGAGCTATGGTATTTCGAGAACTTGATGTAACAATAGTTGGTAAATTTCTATATGTTTTCTGTATTTACTAGAAGGGTACTCGCGTAATGCAATGAGATACATCTTTATTTTAATATTTTATTTTATTTATTATTTCAGTCGATGTTATAATATGGTCTTATGTGATTTTAAAATATATCGATATTAGTATCAAATAACTATTTAAAATTAATAATAAAGTAATTTATATTTGTTTTAATAATATAATTTTTTATAAATATAATAACTAATTATTTTGTTAGAACTCAATAATTATCTTAATTATATTTTAGATTTTTTATATTTTAAAATGAGATATTTATCTTTTATTTGATTACGTTTATCTGCAGTTACTTACACAAATTCAAACATAGAGCTTTAATAAGTTATACTTACGCACAAATTACTTGTAATCTCGAATTTTAAGTAATATGCATCAATAAATAGCATTTCATGCATAAAAAATGGGTTTTAAGAGTTTTTATCAAATGTTTTATAATATAGTATAGATATACAGCAATGCAACAAACAAACTCATACACTCTCCTCACCTTTTGTGAGATTTAAACCTCTGTCCTCATAGGAGGGCAAAGGCTATGATACCGCTAGGTCAAAGGCCATTTGGTAAATTTATATATGTTGATCCCTTCAATCTAACGACTTATTGAAGAAAGTTGATTATGAAAAAACTGGTTGATGATTTTGTTTAAAATAACGTTAGGAGAATGATTCTATTTAAATGAAATTTTTATGTTTATTTTGTTATTTTAATACATTTTTTTTTTAATTTATAAGACTTTTAATATAACATATGATAGGAATTTTTATACTTTGTTCTATTCGTTACTCATCCAATCGATCTATAGTCTTGATTTAAGTGTAACAGGACCTCCAAAAAGATTGAGACGACCCTAATTATGAATTAGTTTATAACATTCAAATACAACGATAAGTTGTAACTGTTCTGTAATATAGTAAAAATATTGTATAAATATATGCGGTGAAATTTTGAAAAGCAGGTTAAAGCTATTGTAAAAATATATATACATCAATATGAATATCCAATTAAAGAGAATAAAATAAATTTTTTGATTGGGCAAATTGCATGGAAAGGTAATGTACTTTAACTTGATTTCTATTTCGGGTAATGTACTTTCAAAACTTTCATTTTGGTACCTAAGATGTAAAGTTTTAAACATTTAAGTACTCAGACAACCAGTTGAAGTATTAAATGGTTACCATGTTGATGTGGCGAGTGATGTGGCATCCAATTCAGTATTATTTGCTCAAGCATTAACCGGATATCACATCACTCGCCACATCAGCATGCATGGTAGCCGGTTAATGCTTCAACCGAGGTTACCCGGGTAGCTAAATGTTTAAAACTTTATATCTTAGTTACTAAAATATAAGTTTTGAAAGTACGTTACCCAAAATATGAATCAAGTTAAAGTATATTACATTTTCATGCAATTTGTCCTTTTTGATTTGATCTGTTTGATTAAAAAATTAACTGTATTTAAGATAATTTAGACTTTTTTTAACTTAAGAAATATGTAGGTTTCTAGAACTTGGTCCATTTATATGGAAAGAGTAATATATATCTTTCTAAAAACCTTTCAAACTTTCATTCTTATTGTTTAAGGCAAATTGTATGAAAAATTAACATATTTTAACTTGATCTTATTTTGGGTAATGTACTTTCAAAACTTTCATTTTTGTACCTAAGATGTAAAGTTTTAAACATTTAAATACCCGGGTAACAGGTTGGAGACTAATTTTAGATTATAAAAAATACTAATTTTAGATCAAAAAAATCCATGTCACTAATCACGTTAGCAAATAATATTGAGTTGAATACCACATCACTCGCTACATCAGCATGATAATCATTTAATACTTCAACCGGTTATCCGGGTACTTAAATGTTTAGAACTTTACATCTTGGGTACCAAAATGGAAGTTTTCAAAGTACGTTACTCAGAATAAGAATTAAGTTAAAATATGTTATTTTTTCATGCAATTTGCCTTTAAATATTAAGAAATATTCTGGGAAGACAAACCCTACAAACTTCATATTTTAAGCGATTAAACCCTTTAACAATTTTTAAAATAAATAAATCTATGTTCTTTGTAAAACCAGTCAATTTTATTTTTTTGTCTATAAAACCAGTCAATGTGATTAAATCATGGGAAAAGTTTGGAAAAAAACCAACAAGACTTCTGTATTTTAAGCAATTAAATTCTTTGACATTTTTTTTAATGTATAAATCCTTATCTATACTATATTATAAAGCATTTGACACATACTCTTAAAAACCATTTTTTATGCATTAAGTATTGTTTATTGATGTATATTACTTAAAATTTGAGGTTACAAATAAATTGTACGTAAATACAACTTATTAAAGCTTCATGTTTAAATTCGTATAACTAACTACAGATAAACATAATCAACTACATGATAAACATCTTATTTTAAATATAAAAAATCTAAAATATAATTAAAATAATAATTGAGTTCTAACAGAATACTTAATTATTATCCTTATAAAAATTATATTATTATACCAAAAATAAATTACTTTATCATGAAACCTAAATTAAATTATAATAAAATAATTGAATTATAGAAATTACATAAAGAATGCGAATTTTTAAATAGTTAATTTGATACTAATATCGATATATTTTTTTCAAATTTTTATAAATATTAACACTATCGCTTTCTCAAAATCACATAAAACCGTATTATATTGACAGAGACACAAAATAAAACGAAACATTATCTCGATGTATTTTGCTGTATTACACAAATATCCTTCTAGTATTTATAAAACCAAAATGAATACATCATTTCTCTCGTGATTTATCAATAGATCAGTAACAAAGTACAATGAACCAATAATACAAAAATGATATATCATTTCCATCAGCATCTCCAAAGCATACAAAGTTGTGTCAAAAAATAGGTCACACCGTTAAACGAGCATTCATATAAAATCGTATTTTGGTATCGTTTTAACTTTAAAAAAACAAATCTAAAACATAAAAAGAAAACATGTTTTCCGGGGGTCGCCATTCATACCCCCTCCTCACTTAGAATACCCGTAGGAGGGGATATGAATAAAATACAGCTTTTCGGTCAATCCCCCTCTCTTTCCCTTCAGTTTTCCTTATGGCATATCCATCCCCATCACAACATCTCCAAGACAGTAGCCATCCTCCTCCTTCCACACCGCCACCATCGCTTTCTCCACATAATGACGGTGGGACCAGTATAATAAAGGCACCCTAGATTAGGGGTGCTCAAAAACCCGATGAACCCGATCAACCCGATCAACCCAACCCGAATTTAAAAAAAAACCTCCAACCCGAGGTAACCCGATGCATGATTGATAAAAAAATTAGCCAACCCGACCTTATTGGGTTGCAATCGGGTCAGGCCTAAAAAAACCCGACCAACCCGACAACCCGATGAACCCGACCTTAACTTTAGCTTTGAATTGTAGATGACAATCATGACATGACCAACCTCAACGTCAAGAAAGCGAAAACATCGGGRTTKGAAACGTCTAAAACTATTGTTGTTGATTGTTGTATTATCATTTGGTTTAAAYATTTTTATTGTAATATCTAAATATTTGATGAACTTGCATATTATCTTGAATGGTCGGTCGTATTTCAAAAGAAAGTCTTCTTTATTTTATGTGATTTTACATTGTTTAAACACAACCCGATCAACCCGAACAACCCGAACGGGTTGGGTTGGGTTGGGTTGGGTTGAACTTTTGTTTGGGTTGGGTTGGGTTGAAAATTTTCAAACCGCCAACAATGGGTTGGGTTGTTAAAACGGCTCCAACCCGATCAACCCGGGCCGTGAGCGCCCCTACCCTAGATGGTGGATGGTGGCATCGTACCTTTATTACAGAGTTGAAGTGATAAAAACATCTCCAACAACTATGCTAAAATATAAATTTTGGATTATTCTTTTTTGCTCCAACATCTATGCTAAAATAGAGAAAAGACAGAAATCTCCAAATTTTGAGAAATCTATAAAACTTAATATTAAAGAGAGAGATATATTATTTTAATTGTTTTCATCAGAGAAATTGAATGTGTTATAATTTTTTAAAGGTATATCACACTAATAAATTTATAAAATAATTTAATAATATAATTAATGCCAGAATTGCTAAAATAAAATACACGTTAGAGTATTTTTCAGATTTTTTGAATTTTAGTACTTTATTTCAAAAAAAAAATTATAACATAACCGTTAAAAATGCACCAATCATGGGTTCATGACAACTCAAGAACCAAAACTACACAAAATTTTGCATTCTTGAAATCTCAAAGAAAATTAAAGGGAAAACTAAGAACATATTACATCTAGAGATCAATGGTTTATTGGTTAATTACAAGTAGTAACGAAATTAAACAAATACAATATATCCCATTCAAAAATGGTCTGATTGGTTTTCTCAAGACAGGCTATTTTTGCGTATAATTGGGCTTTTCTAGGCTAGGTATTTCCAGAACAGGGTTGAGTTTTTTTGTGCATCTCTAAGGTTCTCCATGTATGTTGTCAAATCATGGCGACTCATTGAGATCTCAGAAAAACAAGAATATATATGTATTACATCTTGAGATTAATGGCTTTTGGTTGATCACAACACAAGTCCGTAACTAAATCAAACAAATACGGTATATCCCATTAAAAAAATGACCCATCGGGCTTTTTCAAAACAGACTATTTTCGAGCTTAACCAGGCTTTTTTGCGGGCCAAGCTCGGGCCAGGCCAGGGTTGGATTTTTTTGGTGCATTCTAGGGTTCTCTATGCATGTCAATGTCACCAAATCATGGCAACTCATTGAAATCTCAAAAAGAAAAAAGAAAAACAAGAATATGCATGTATTACATCTTGACTTCTCGAGATCGATGGCTTTTGGTTAATTACAAAACAAGCCAGTAACCAAATCAAACAAATACAATATATCCCACTTAAAAAAGTCCCGGTCGGGCTTTTTCAAGATACGCTATTTTTGGGCTTAACCGGGCTTTTTTGGGCCTATCCAGGGTTGGTTTTTTTTTTCCCATCTCTAGGGTTCTCCATGTATATCACCAAATCATGGCAAATTGGCAACTCATTGGAATCTCAAAAAGAAAAAAAAAAAAAAATACGTATGTATTACATCTTGACTTCTCAAGATCAATGGCTTCTGGTTAATTACAAAACAAGCCAGTAACCAAATCAAACAAACACAATATATCCCACTCAAAAAGGACCCGGTCGGTTTTTTCAGGATACGCTATTTTTGGGCATAACCGGGCTTTTTTGGGCCTGTCCAGGGTTTGGGTTTTTTTTGCATCTCTAGGGTTCTCCATGTATGTCACCAAATCATGGCAACTCATTGGAATCTCAAAAAGGAAAAAACAAAGAATGTACATATATGTTGCATCTTGAGCTGAATGGCTTTTGGTTAATTACAACACAAGTCAGTAACCAAACCAAACAAATCCAGTATATCCCACTCAAGTACGCTGATACGGAGAAATGTCAAAGGTTTAGTTTAAATGATATTTGGTCATAACAATGGATTCAAGTCGATCCAAAAAACGAGCATATAGACTTTCATTCAAACAAATACTAGTCATTAACAAATGTAAGGTGTTACCTCAAATGAAGCTATCTTCTGAGGTGATCTTTCTTCTTTTGAAAGCAGGATGGATTCCACTGTTGAAAGAATCAAGTTTGTCGATTCTCGAAATACAATCTTTCATTCTCTTCAAAAGGGACGGCATTGCAGAAGCGTTGTTGTAAATCTTCTGCTTAATCATTTGTATTTTTTCGGTATATATCGGGTCATGTTCTACTAATGCCTCGCTCTCTGAATCAAAAGAAAATAGAAAATTTGACCCTTTTAAGTTAAAGCTTACATATGAAAGACGTTGGGAATAATTTACCAAAGACGAAACAAACATCGACTACATGAAAAAAAACCAGTATGGCAGTAGAAGGAGGTTAAGGGAAAACCCCAAAATAAAAACACTGAGGAACACCCCTGGTAACTGCTCATCTGGACAATTTACACATGTCCATACAAGTAATTGAAGTCGTTTCTTGGTATTTAAGCACATCATACAAGTAATTGAAGATGTTCAATGACGGTATGCACATGTGCATAAAAATGAAGAACGACTTTAGTTACTTGTATGCATATATGCATACCGTCCAAGTGAACAGTTATATGGGTGTTCCTCAGTTTTTCATTTTTTGCATATTTCCCCTGAACCTGACCCTATGGCAGGATATCTCACACAAAAATAGGATTTGTGGGTGAAATGTACGCGGACATAACTTCTACCCCATAGGATAGAGCGACTGCATCAGTGAAGATCTCCAGCTAAAATCAACAACGCAATGAATAGAGATTATATGATGTTTAACCAATAAATATAAACACTATAAGAAGCCTCTTGTACATTGATTTGGCAAGTATTCAATCGAGAATGATCAATTTGCACATTGACATGACAACAAGCACTTGGTAATATTTTTTTGGGTAATCGTGGGTTTTTAGGTCAGCTTACCTGCACTGACTAATCCCCTGGGGAACCACGAATGGTCTGGAGTCATCACAGGTGAACCTCCATGGCCACAAGGGTTTGGCAGCGTATTCGAACCTGGAGTAGATGAGATTTTCCCCTACATCCCGCTCAACCAGTGCGCCACAACCCAAGTGGTTAGTAATTGGTAGTTTTGGTTGTGGTTCACAAGAATATATCTTTTGTCATAATAAAATAAATTTAAAATAATCTTGAGAGGTAGCTCAATCGATAAATAAAGGCTAGGCCTTGGGGCTCCTCCACATAAGTCGCCACATAACAGAACAAGGATCATTGTTCCATGTTTGGCTGGACTTTTATGTTCTGTCATGTCTAGTTTTGTCTAACCAAACACTGAACGTCTATCTTGTCCTGTCTCACCTGTCTCGTTACCAAACCCACCCTGAGAGTAAATAAATAACCCATAACACCCATCTTCATATTCTACTAAGCAACTAACTATGCAAACCAAACATGTTTCCAACCATTTCAAAATTTCAAAACCCTAACCATCAAATTCCACCTCTTTTGCACCCATCTCTTTCAGCACAATGCTGACATTATCTAAGTTCATCTAATCTCTGTCATCTAAGTCATAAATCGGAGCTCTAAAGATCCAGAAGTTGGACATGGATGAGCAAGCATCAGATAGTAGCATACTAAGCAACTAATTAACAGCCCCAACATGTTAATTAACAAGCGAATCACAGTTCGCAAGAAGAAAACAGTGAAATTCTATGTGTACCTGGATTCGGATTACTGGAGGTTCCAGGATCATTATCAAACTGGTTCAAATTAACCGGCCTCTGAGCAGAGAGAACTGAGGCCAGAGTGTTCTGGAGCTGAGTCGGCAATGTTTCTCTAAACTCCGCTATCTTCTTCGCCATAAGCTTCACATCTTCTTCTAATGTCTCAAGCTCCTGGACTTCATCGGATACCTGATCTAGGGCTTGTTCTTCGGGCTGATGTTGTTCCTCCATTTCCATTTTGGATCTTTAGATCTCCGATGATGATTTGAATAGCAGAGTTATGGATGAAATCAAATCACGCCAGGGTCGTTTGAATCGTGTTCAAAAGAGGGGGAATTTGGTGATTAGGGTTTTGAAAATTTTCAAATTTCGAAATGGTTGGAAACATGTCCGCTTGCACACAAAATAATGGTTTTTTTGGAAAATGAAACAAAAAATGAGAATGAGAATTTTATACAGTATTTTTTTCTTTTATCGTAGTATATAAAAATTAGAAGGTCGTTACAAGTATCATTATATCAATTTGTTACGTATCAACGCATGTATTTTAAAACTACAATAAAAACACAAGTTTCTTTTGGTAAAAGTTTACAAAACTTTTACTCCACCTCAAATCCGAGTTTGAATCTTGTTAGAGTTATTTCAGGATTGAACTAACCAACAGATCAACGATGATTTTGTGAAAAATATTCATACATTTGTTTCATATAGTCAAATGGTATCACCGTTTACAAAAAAAAAAAATGGATTCGTCCCTGAAAATGAACCTATTGTATTATACAAAATCAAACAGTTTTTTTATATTCAATCTCATCAAGGACTACTTAAATAACCCTAACAAAATGTTACATATTTTCTAAAACGTTTATAACGTTTTTTTTAACGTGAAATTTTATATTTTATATGAACCAACTGTATTTGGTATAAACTTTTTCCAGTCATTGCATATTAATACTGATTTTATATCGATTTCATATTACATATATAAAACTTTGTCATTTTATTTAAATTATAAGTGATACTTTAAGTTTACAGGTAATATATATCAATTGCAAATAATAAAATCTGTAAACATTTATATATTAAAAAAAATACATAATACAAGTATTTGTCTTTTTTATATATTTAATTTTCGATTTTTATTCCAAATTATTTTTTATATATTCCCATGATGTCATAAATAAGGGTAAATTGCATGAAAAAATAATGTATTTTAACTTAATTATTATTTAGGGTAACGTACTTTTAAAACTTCTATTGTGATACCTAAGATATAAAGTTTTAAACATTTAAGTAATCGGGTAACCAGTTGAAGCATAAACCGTTTATCATGTTAATATGGTATACAACTCAGTATTATTTGCTGAAATATTAACCGGATACTGCATCACTCGCCATATCAACATGGTAACCGGATAATGTTTCAATCAGTTACCCATGTACTTAAATGTTTAAAACTACCACAATAGAAGTTTGGAAAGTACATTACCCAAAATAATGATCAAGTTAAAATGTGCAATTTACCCCATAAATAAGTATATTATTTTTTTCATAAGAAAATCAAATAATAATTCGACTTAAATTTTTATTAAACAATTATCATTAAAATAAAACATAATTTCAAACATAAGTTTTATATTTCTACTATAAGAATATTCGCGTAATGCAGCGAGATAATTCTCGATTTTAATGTTTAGTTTTTATTTTTTGTCTCTATCGATATAATACGATTTTATGCAGTTTTGAGAAAGTGATAATGTTATTATTATTTGAATGAAATATAAATTTGAAAATAGCATAAAAATTAAAAAAAAAATTGATATTAGTATCAAATTAACTATTTAATAGTTATCATTTTTTTTGTGTAACCTATTTAATCCAATTCTTTATTATAATTTAATTTAGATTTAGTGACAAAATAATTTATATATGGTTTAATAATATAATTTTTTATAAAGATAATATTAGAATTCAATAATTATTTTAATTATATTTTAGATTTTTTATATTTAAAATGAATGTTTATCATGTATTTGATTATGTTTATCTGCAGTTAATTACACGATTTTAAAAATGAAGATTTAATAAGTTGTACTTAATCAAAAATACTGTAATATTGAATTTTAAGTAATATGCATCAATAATGAGTACTTCATGCATAAAAATGGTTTTTAACAGTTTTTGTCAAATATTTTATAATATAGTATAGATAATTATAACTCTGAATAAACAACACACAGGGGTCCATAGCTCAGTGGTAGAGCAATTGACTGCAGATCAATAGGTCACCGGTTCGAACCCGGTTGGGCCCTTATCTTTTGCTTATATTTTCCTTCCTCTTTTTAATAATTTACAAGTTTAGTCCCTGTGGTTATATGCTTTTAACGATTTTTGTCCCTTTTTGAAAATTAAACGGATCGTGTCCATGCGGTTGTATTTTACAACAAAGTGGATCCTTAATGCAATCACAGAGACTCAGGTCATTGATTCATCTAAGGATCAAACTCATATCTCTACGGTTATATGTTTTAACGGTCTTTGTTCTATTTTGAAATTTTAATGGATCGTGTTTATGTGGTTGCACTTTTACAACAACGTTGGGCCGTTAAAGGTTGTTTTTTTACCCCTCTAATTTTCATTTTGTCCATGTGGTTTGTCAAAAATAATAATTTTCATCCCAACAGATTTAAAATTAAAAAATGGTCATCATAGTTTGCAAAAACGTCCAGATTTGACCCTTTCATCTAATGGCTATTAAAAAATCCGTTAAATAAAAGGCATTTTTGTCATTGTATCAATTTTTTGTCTTTTACATAATTAAAAACCGCATGAACCAAAAATCATAAAATCGATTTTGATTAGGTAAAAAAACAAAAAAATATAGATAAAAGAACAAAAATGTCTTTTATTTAACAAAATATATAACGATCATTAGAGGGAGGAACCAAATTTTGAACGTTTTTACAAACCATGATGGGAATATTATAGTTTTAAAACATCATGGACAAAAATGTTATTTTTGACAAACTATAGGGACTAAATTTATAGTTTACTCTTGGGTTTTTTTTAAAGTATATAATATTTATATACGACAAATGTAACAAATAAACTCACGTACCTTTCTCACATTTGGTGAGGTTTGAACTCCTTACCTTCTATGAAACCAAAAACTACAATACCGCTAGGCTAAAAGCTTTTTTCTTCCCTCCAATTTTTATTGCTTTTCTCCCTCCAGTTTTTATATGTTTTTTTTATATACTCTAATTTTTATTTTATTTTTATTATTTTTTCCAACTTTTATTGATTTTGTTTCTCTAATTTTCATTTCCTCCAATTTTTATTAATTCCAACAATTATCATAAGATCATTAAATTCGTAACAAAATTTGAGCACTTTTTTTTTGTGTTATAAAAGCAACAAAAAAATCATAACGAAAGAGTTGAAACAGTTATAAAACCGAATTCGAATATATAAATTAATTATAATCTTCAGAGTTAATTATATTTTTCGTCTCTGTAATTTGGTGTTTTTACTGTATCTCGTCTTCATTTTAAAAACATAACGTGTTCCTATGGTTGTATTTTTTTAACTAGTTGGGTTTATGAGGAGCTGGTTTTAGTGTTTGGGAATTTCAACGAGCTGGGTCTCTACATAAATTAACAAATGGTCCATTTGGTTGTATCGAGGACCCAACTCGTTAAAAATATGAAACAACAAAGACCCAACTCGTTAAAAATATGTAACCACAGAGACCCAACTCGTCAAAAATATGTAACCGCAGAGACCCAACTCGTCAAAAATATGAAACCACATGAACCTAACTTGTTGATTTTCAAAATATGGGGCGAAAATGGCAATTTTTAACAAACCTTAGGGACCAAAAATGTAGTTTACTCTTGAATTTAATATCTTACATCAAATTTTTAAACAATTATATTTAATGCAGAACATAAGGATGGGGAATATTGATCGAAACAACAGTGAGTTACACGATCTAGCCACGACTTCAGTCTCGTGTGATGTTTAGTGAGTTGCGCAAACCTAACTCGTGACTTTTGTCGTGGCTAAGGTCGTGTGGATGGTTGTTTAGCTGAAGATCGTCCTTTTCTGATGCCACACCTGTATAAATGAAGTAAGGAAAATTGGCAAAGGGTGCAACTCATTTGGCAAAGGGTATAACGACTTGCCCAAATACAAGACATGTACAGGGTTCGATCCCCCACCCTCCATGTGCTAACCTCAGCCGCTAAATGAGCCAAAAAAAATGTCCCTCACATTGGCATTCTTGAATATGGGTTCTGTGTGGGTCCGTTAGGATTGTCAATAATCAATTTTCTCCCTAATAAATGAAGTAAGGCATTAAGAGGCAAAAGAGGTGCGTTATCCACAAAAGAAATGGAGTTTTTGATGTGCTTTTGGACGAAGGATCGTATGAGAATGAAAGTTAAGGTGAGAAGCGTAAAAAAAGATTTGAACCATCGATCACTTTTAATCTCGTGCCCACCCATAAATTACGCTTCATAAAGGAATTGATCTGCTGCATCTCGGTGCACCTCGTTAACGTTGACATTCAATTAAGATTGATCCAATGTGGAGATATATTCTTAAGCTTCTAGCTGTAATTTTTTTTTCTCACTAGAACCCAACATGTGCTTTTGTGTCTGTAAATGAGAGGCTATCAAGTACTTACTGGAAAAAAATATCAGTAATGAATAACCCAAAAATATTATTTGTGTTATTAATCATGAACCGTTGATTTCATATTATCAAGTTATTTATATTTCCCATTTTAAACTTGTCATTTGTTACTAAAATGCAACAAAGAGAAAACGGAGTATATTAACGGTGACTTTGCTAGTTGGTAAATTTGTTGTTAAATGTCGTTGAATCGAGTAAAAGCAATCAACGTTACTGATTCAGTAACAGATAATTTTTTGTTGGTAAACAACATCTCCTAAGACATAAGAGACTCTTAGGAGCCGTTTACCAAACGTTTACTTGGGTAAGTGAACACCAAGTCAGAATATCTTATCGGGCGAATATATGGTAAGGACCAAGAAAATCTTACCTGGTAAAAAGCGAGACAAAGAGCAAGAGTTTTACCTGGTAAGTGAGGGCGACGACTCTTACCACGATAAACGTTTACCGATAAGTTGTTGCATACGATACCGTTTTGCTGGACTAAAATGTTAGTATGTTACTCGGTAAGTAAATGATAGTGTTAAATTTTACCCGTAAATGTTTGGTAAACGACCCTTTAATTAAAAACGACAAAAATTCAGTAAACAGACAATAAATAATTTGGGCCAATTTGGTTTTCAATGCTTTAT